TCCAGAATCAAAGCCAGCACGCTGATGCACAACTGAGGCAACTGCAGAGCAACTCCTGAACCACCACCGAGAACGAGAAGATTTCAGAGATACCCCAACAAATTGGCAGCAGATCATTTTCCAAAAACAGTCCCAAAAGATTTACAAAGGTAATCATTGGTTTCCAACCAAATCGCATTAGTATTCCTCTGAGGTTTCTGATGAATGTAAATGAAGTACTTTGAGCAAAACTAGGTGTCTGTCTGGTTGCTTAATGCTCCATTATGTCCCCCAGCTTGTAAATGTTAAATCTGACCAACTGAGGCCAGACAATGGTGAAAACATTCAGGCCTCACAACAATACAGAGCCAGGCCAAACATATCAGACATGAAAGATGGCAAAACACTCAAAATAGAAATAATGTACTTGGATATGACAGCAGAAGGTTAGTAATCAGGGGTAATTATATGACTGAATATTACAGTTTATTGGTAATATTCTACCCAAAGAGGGAAATTGGGATATAAAACTCCATAAAGAATAAGATTAGCTATAAAACACTATAAAAACTTATGTTAATTACAGCCTGATATTCTCTGTTCAACAAGCACTGATGTGAAAAATAGTAATATTCACATTTGGAATGTATTTACTATTAAGGCAACTTGTAACGCCACTTGCTTCCTCTGGATTTTACTTAAAAGAATCTGAGTTTGTAGGAATTTATTTTTTTCATCATGCTATCATTTCTGTATCACTATTAGGACAGTAGGTTAAGGGTCCTAAAAATACTAAAATTGCAGTTTTTGTTTGTAACAAAACCCATAAAATCCCAAGACCATGGAAGAGATTAGCTAAAATCTGTAAACAGGTCATGTAGTACAGTCAGATAGAGACATCGTCACTCAGCCACTCGCCCTATTTGGGTCGCAGGAGCTGCCTACTACCAAATAAAGGACGAGAAAACACAGAGTGCACAGTGTGAATCAATGGAGATCAACTTCCTGGTATCGCCGCTGCCCGGCCCTCAGTAAAGACCTGAGATCAATGCTGATGTGCGTGGTTGACAAGGATCTAGAGCCGTAGGACGCCACAGCTTATGTCCTCCTTCTCACTTAAGCGCATCACTGGCTGAGATCAGTGTTTCAGTTTGATATCGAGAGTGTGGAGCAAGGGATTGGAGTACTGATGTAGTGAAAGCGGGGTCAGAAATGGCAGGAACATGCAGGGGAGGGAAAAAAGAGGTTTTAGGAGAAGCAGGCAGGTAAGAGCCACTGAGTTTCACCGACTCTGTGACTACTTAGTCATGCGGGCGCCTTTCAAATCCACAAATGAGTAAAATTACCAGGGAGGATCCGGGGTGCAGACACCTGCACTGCCAGTTCATTATTCTTGTCAAATAATTATGAGTTATGGAAAAGTGAGGATATTTTGGTCTAGTGCAGCGATAATGTTGGGCAGGCGCTGAGACATTTTCCTCCTGGAGGGATCCGAAATTAAGATATGGGCTCTCAGGGCAGCTGGGGGGTCTTTCCCGGGGACAAGAAGGTTTTATTTGATTAAAAAGGTGACTTTTTGCATCATTTCAGATGATTATTATTACAGTAATTACAACAAACAAGGCAGACTGTTGAGTGAACTGCAATTTTCCCATCCTACGTAGACATTTTGACAGAAACTGTGCCTGGCTACTCTGTGGGGGTAGCCAAGAGACAGCTGGAGGAGTTTCTGTAGCCGCAGACAATCATCCAACTTCTTGATGTCTGTTTTCTACAAAAAAAATTAAATTACTGAATGTTTTTCTTTATAAACTACCTGGACAACAGCAAAATAGGTCAAAATGCAAAATATGAGTAAAATGCACTTTATATTTTGGCTAAAAACTAAACATGAATTGGGTATTTGTATGATATAGTGACATTTATTGTTTTAAATTAGAATTTGCAACCAAATAAAGTTTTTCCACACACAATTTTTCCATATGGCTTCTTTTATTTAATTAAAAAACCCAAGACGTGTAATTTGCGGTGATGGGTAAACTTTCACTCATGCGCTAACAGTGTTTTTGCTAACTCTGAAAATATTTAGCACACTTAGCTTCCTCTAAATTAATTTTTGCAGATAAATGACATGACTGTTCCGTAAACTTTCAGCTGAATAAAGTATGACATCTGTGTTGAAGTAGTTAAACATCATGCTCTTATTTTGAAGAGGGTATATTTATTTCCTCCCCTAATTTTCTCTCTTTTTCCACAATAACTTATTTCAAAACAAAGAAAGGTGGGCAGTAAAGAACCAGACATAAACATAAATACAATAGAACCTGTCAAAATTAAATTAGACCTCATAGTAATGTAATCTGAACTGCAGTTAGTGTGTTAGCATCAGATTATGCTAAATAGCATTTTAGAGCAGCGCTTTAGCATTAGCAAAACGAATGTTTGTGATTAGTTCTTTAGTTAGTTTGTATACTTATTTTACAATGAAACAAGGGCTAGATTGTATTGTATTTTGTCTTTATTTTCAATCTTGTAGAAATGAAAATGTGTTAGCCTCATGTTTATTGTGACTTTAAGGAAGAGTGGTAATTATTTAAACTTATGTGAATCAACATCACAAACACCTTAAGTAGTGAGACAAACATGCCTTCAAACAAGCTTGTCGCCTTACAGAAAATGAAAATAAATAAGCATGTTTTATTTATCAATTATATCAACTGTTGGCCTATTTTACACTTTTAAAATTCATTTTCTCCCTTCATACACAAACCCAACTTCAACATATAAAGGACTCATACAAACTAAAAAGAGAACTAGAAATTTACTTCAGTTAGCTGGAGAAACAAAATGTTTTCAACATTTTCAACTGAATCAACTTTGTCCTATTTTCTGTGGAAATAATTCATATTTCAAGATCCGACCACATGACTCGGTTCTAACGGTCATCTTTATTCAGTAGTTAATACTGCGATTAATCGAGGATAAGAGCAAACTAAACTTACATCGACAACTCTAAATATCATTTTAATTTTAGCAAGCAGACACCAAAAACCACATTCTTCAAAATTTAAAAACAACCAGATGAAATAATTCAGCAATAAAATGTTGATTTACAAAACTTGACCCTGGATAGTTTTATTGGAGGTTATTATAGATAATTAAGTGACTGTTATTTAGAAGTACCCATAATAAAACATATTTATTACAAATGTAGGGCATACTTTTCAGATTTTTTCTGGTAAAACATCTGTTTTATCCATTTGGGAAATCGCAAAAATAATGTTTCTTTTTGAAAAAGCCTCAGCGGTGGCCGGCTTTGTTAACGTCAGAAGCTTCATTGTTTTGTGAGCCGTTGCCTACTTTTGCTTTTTCAATGTTCTGTCAGCATGAATGAGTGAATGAATGAACGGCGGGTTTCCAGAGAGTCAGATGAAGCGAGGAGCCGCAAACGCCAGCCGTGTTCGCTGTGTGATGCTTCACCTCAGGCTAGAGGAATCAAAGCACCACCTGCGGACCGCCGGAGATGTTCCCGTTTAACGAAACGACTCGGAAATGTCAGAGATTGTCCCCCTGGCAAACACTTCCTGTGAGCGAGACAATACGGCACAGATCTGTTTCTTTAATGTTTTCACACTTTGCAGCACGGAGAGTCGAGGGGGTTTTGATCTCTCAGGAAAAACACACGAATCCGTCAACTTAAACCGCTAACCCTCTCCAAGGCAGGTAGCCATTAACTCCACCAGAGCGCCACATTATCGTTTGAGTCATGCTGCTCTTCTGTAACACATAAAAGGCCCGGAGAAAACCTATAATCAACAAAGGTGAAGAATAATGGTCACTGTTAAGGAAATTAGCAGCATGACTAAATGACTGTTTTTCCTACAAATGCCAAGAGGGTGAGCGCTCTGAGAATGAATCCGAGGTTGTTGGAGGATAAACTCATGAAATCAAGCTCAGAAAAACAAATATTATGACAGAAAGAAGAAAACTGGAACTAATCCTCTAAAAACAAACATGGAAATAGAGTCATATCCGCGTTATGATGATCTAGTCAAAGTCCAAACGAATTGCAAGGGGGTATCTGTGCCAAGACTTAAAAACTGATTCTTTCCTTCCAATCTGCAATGAAAACAAAAATTGGGGCTGTAATTTAAGACTAAAGTCATACAGAAAATAGAGTACAATTATCCACTACTTTGTATTGGTCTAATTCATAAGATCTCAATAAAATAAATGACATACTGGAGTATAATATGCTAAAATGTCTCATTTGAATGAGTAGGGATACTTGTTGCAACGCATTATATCCTAAAGATGCCAGAAACTAAACAGTATAAAAATAAAAACAAACAATGTGGTAGTTTTTGGGGTTTCTTTAGTTTTTTTGCGCCAATGCAATGAGTCTGTTACTAGTTGGGTGAATGGAGGCCATCTGGGATTGGCCAAGGCTTCTGTGAATGGAGCCGGGGTAGCGCCATTCAGCAGAAGAAGAAGAAAAGGAAGAAGAAGAAGAAGCAACAGCTCGGCGCTGTCCGCGGTGCTGAACTGAGCCGCAGGCAAATCAAACAAACCCAGAGGAGACGGGCGGCCTGCTGATGTGCAAACACACACATAAAAAAGGGACTTCCGGCACATTAGGCAGGGAAACCACCTCTTGACTTTAATGAAACTGCACTCGATGTGGAGTAGGGCGGCCGGGAGAACACCTGTCGGACTGCGACAACACACACACACACACACACACAGGGATGTTTGCTGAAGCTATCAGCCTTATTGTATAGGTTGAGGTCGATTGCAGATTATGCGCTAAAAATAACATAAAAACAAGGGATTCAGTCGCGGGGCCTCCATCTGCACTAAATACAATGAGGAGATGAATGAGACCGGGAGTCTCCTTGGATCTGACACCCGTCTCCATGGCGACAGGAGCAGGAGGACCAAAACTGGCATCTATCCGGGCCCAAATCAACAGATGGCCACCACATCACCCCCTCCTCCTCCATCCCCTCCCCTCCACCTACCTTGCACTGCTCCATGCACGTCCTCACCGAATAAGCCCCCGGCTCGTATTTCTCCGTCAGGAGCTCAAAGTCCTCGTATTTCTCCTGGGCGTGCTGGTCGTAGCGCTGGTACGCCTGGACGCACTCGCCGCATCGCGTCGCGTCGCCGTCCTCCAGCGCCCGGACGCTGCAGTTCAGGTTGTCCGGGCTCGCCGAGCCGTCGAACAGGTCCAGCAGAGAGTAGGAGTTACAAAAGGACAGGAACAAGTCGCTCATGTTAGCGACCCGCGGGCCCTGCTTGTCGGAGAGGCCGCGGCACAGGTCGTCCGCATCCGCGAAGGCGAAGCAGTCGCCGGACGAACTGTCCCGGTGGCGAGTTTCGAGGCGACACAGATGTTTGGTGGAGTTTCCTAGAAAAATAGCGTGGGGGTTCTCTGTGAGGCTGATGTGCACCGAGTGGGTGTGGGGGGAGCGGAGGTGGGAGGACGCGAACTTGTCCGGGGTTCGGGCCAGCCTGGCCTCGGCGCAGAACCACAGGCGATCAGAGAGGAGGACGGTGAGGAACAGGAGAGATGCCAAGGACAGTCGCCATCTCTGCGCCCTCTCAGAGTCGGTGAATGGCTTTTGGTGGTCGCGAGGGGGCTCGAGCCAGATTTGGAAGCCGTCGTCGTCGTCTTGCTGCCAACACGTCCCAGCACCCCTGGTCATATTTTGGGAACCGGCCGACTCCACCGTGGGGGCTCCTCTGCCGCAACAGTCATGGACGTCGGGAGCCGATCGCGTTTTCCTCCCCTTAAGAGTCGGCTAGTGGGTTGTCCCGGCTTTCCGTCGCGCTCAGCGGAAATTCCCATCCAAAGGAGCGTGGGCAGGGTGGGTAATCAGACTCCTGCGACCGCGGGCCGCATCCTCCATGGCTGTCCTCCCGTCCGCCCCGAGCTGCCGCGCGGCGCCGCTCCGCTCCTCTGCGTAGCCGCGACTCCGCTTTTAGAAACACTCACTGACGCGCTTACGTTTTCCCCGGCCTCGGTCGTTCGCGGACAAGGGCGCTATCGTCTTCCAACATGGCGAAGGACTGTTGCCTTTTTGTGTCAGCGCGATGGGGCCTAGCTACAGCCTGCTACGGACGTCTTCTTTCTTTTTCAAGCCCTCGCCGTCTTCATCAAGTTGCCGCCATGTCCGCCAAGAGACGGTGTGTGTTTGCAGCATCCTGCGTCAATTCGGCCACGACACGTAGCCTTACTTCCTGTTGTACATTTCAAAATAAGATGTCACAAGTCGCTGTTTCTCTTTTTTTTGTTTTGGGGCTACATTCCTTATTTATTGTATATTACTTTTTTGTCTTGACTCTTGATAGTTACTATGTTCCTTGAGCAAAAAATATAAACATGAATTTATTTTTATTTTTTATTATTGACTTCTGTCCTACCATATTTACTAAAAATTAATGAAGTGTTAATAACTTTTTACATGTTTTAATAAAACAAGCCCAGACCTGTTGATTATGATTGATTTGTAAAAGCAGCAAGAAATTTAAACATGGTCATGAATACTTTTCATGGGGACTATGGCATTTCCAAAGCAAGATGCTGCCACCATGTTTCAAATTATGCCTTTTGAATGTACACATACCGTACATAAAAATATCAACTGTGCTTCTTCTTTAAAAGAAAAATAACTTTACAATGTCCTGATATTTTGATAGTCTTCTTCAGGAAGTACCCAAAAGTTACTCAGAGTTGAATTAGAAAACAAAATGACAAACAATCAAGAATCCTGCTGATAACATAGATGATGTGCATAAAACTCAGCTTAAAATTAGTTGACTATAGCTCTGAAAGTTAAAAGAAAAAAAACCCAAAGCCTTTTGTCCCCTGTTGCTCTTTAAAGAGTCAGTGTATTTAAAAGTAAAAGCATTTAAAGAGTAAAACAGATTTTAATTAACTAAGACGAGCTGATAGTTAATTATTAAAACTTAAAAATATCAAACAATAAATAAAAGACAGTTAATTCAAAAATATACAGTTTACTGTAAATATGACTGAAACTTTAAACTGTTTTGGATAAATATAACTCAGTAACCATAACAGTGCAACATTACGTTCACAATGAAATATGCAAACCAAAATTTCTCGATTGTTTTATAGTTACTCAAATTATCAAATTTCACACGTAAGAAAAACCTGTGGTTTTCAGTCTTATTGATTTGTTTTATTTTGAAGGTCTTGCCGCCTGATATCCGGTATCTTCCCCCAGTAATCTCGTGAACTTGACGAAGCTTCTCCAACTCTGACGTTATGCGCGCGCACAGCAGCCGTTGCAGCCGTCGCTCAAGGGCGCATCAAGTCAGAGCGACTGCGCTAAAATGTTCCCACGAAGACTGGAGCTTAAACTTCGCATTAAAACCAGTTTTTTATGAGCTTCCTTATTCAGAGCCACGGCGGAGATCAAATTAAGAGGAAGAAGAAAATGCTGAAAAGCTTGGGATGAAATACAAAGCGCAGAGAAGCCATTGGCCTTGAGGAGGAGTTCATGAGAGTTGTTTTATTTTGTAATATTGTACCAGCAGATGCAGTTCAGCAGGATATGGTGTCTGTCTTTACAGCAGGTTGCTCCACACCTGGCTCTTTTTTTTTTACACATATTACCAAATCTATTCATCTGAAATTCCGCAAAACCATTTAAAATTTACTACCCATTAAACTTTTCCATACAAACCTCAATATATTGTAGGAAAAAAGCCATTATATAGCAGTTTCTTTATAGTGAATACATAGGGCAGTTTAAAGCACTGAAGCTTTTTGTTCACACTTACTTTACAACGATAAAGTCTCCTTGGACGTTCTTTCAGATGGCCAACAGTTGGGCTGGTCAAGGCTTCACACTTGCAACTCCACTCAGGAATAAGCACTGGTTGAGTACGTCTAATTAAAGCCTGTCACTCAAACACTCACTCTCCATCACCTAGAAATAGTCAAGAGTGGGCGATGGATTACAGAGTGCTTAGTGGGCCACATGTTTTATAAGCACCAAATTTTCTTCCACTCCTTTAAATGTATTGTCTTGATGCTTTAAAGGGGCAGTATTATGCATTCTCAAGCCACATAGTGCCATTTTATAGCACAATCAAGTAACTATGTTAACATCAGCTGTTATAAAAATGCTAATTGACTTAAAAAAAAGTTTTAAGTCATATTTAAATGCCTTGAAATTGGGCCTTTGTCTCTTTAAAAACTCCTGCTCGTCAGGATGTAGTCACAACATCCACCCTTTAATGTTTTTACTTGTAAATGCAGTTCCACCAGGTGTTTGCTAATTGCTGCTGGCTAGTCTGCAGGAGCTCAGTGGGGGAGAAGCTGTGTCTGGAAGGCGGGGCTAAGTCCACCCGGGTGTTTTGAACAGCTGAATGGTTGTCATGGAGATTAAAGGATTTCTCAAACATGCATGAAATAATTGAAACAACACTCCAGGTATGTTTTTGATGGTTATAATGTGATTTAAAGCCAAAAAACGGTCAAATTTACATAATACAGCCCCTGTGAGAATGTTACAATTCAGTTGAAAATGTATTCACACAGCATTTCCACACAACAACGCTCAGGGCAGTTACAGGGAGCTTACCTGCACCCAAGAGGCGACGCTGATGCTGGTATTTCTGAAGACAGAAACAACATGGCCGCACCTCTGATGCAAACCTGCCGGCAGCCGTCGGGGTCATTCTTCTCTGAAGCTACGACTCAAAATGCAGACAGTTAGAAAAAGACAGACCACTACCACACATTTACTCAACTGGGGAGCCATCTTTTTAGAAATATCCCCAGTTTCACAATTATTATTACTCGTCTTACCCATTACAGAAGAAGAGACAGATTCCCTCAGCATCAAAGATCCTCCACCAAAATGCCCACATATGTAAAAAAAAGGCTCCCATAAAACTGTTTCATTTTTCTGAACGAAAAACATAATTTAAATCCAACGTAACTTAAAACCTCTATTTATTTTTAAGGTCATCTATTAAAAACAAGCCAATAAACATGCTGATGAAATAAAACAAAAATTTGAAACAAATTATTTTAATCCTCATTCAACCCGACAGGTGGATAGGATTCAAATTCATTACTGATCAATCATAAGGCAATACAGTAACTAAAATAGTTTAATAGTTAAATTTAAAAAGCTAAAATGCAAACATATAGTATTGATGTGCATGTTTCTATAATAAACGTTCATATTGAGTGCAGATTTTTAGACTTTTAGACCAACATGGTGGTGGCAGCATCATGCTGTTGTGGTGCCGTTTTCTGCATTAGAGACAAAAATGTTGATTAGAGTTCAGTATTTTGTTCCATACATATCATGTATGTTTCCCCGTGTATTATTTTCCTTGTGCATAAAATCCCATAAAATGTCCTCTCAGTATTCCCTAAATTTATTAAAACTAGATAAAAACATAATTTCCTGTTCAATTTTAAATCATAAATTAGTATTATGTTAATAATAATTAATTTCTAACTTTATTTCTAATCTGATTGGAAATCTTATCGAGTATTTTCGTCTAGTTTGAAATGGAACAATAAAAAAAACATACAAACAACTTTTTAGCAAGATACTCGTTTCCCTGGCAGATTATCTAACTCCAACAAGAAATGTTTCCCATGTTATAAGTTAAATAATTTACATTTTCATCAATACTGGAGAATTATTTACTTAAAATAAGCTCCTATATTTGGTTAAAAGTTATCTAAAAGTTAGTTTTCGCTTATATTAAGATATTTGCACAGGAAACTCGACTGAAAATGACTTGATAAGATTTTGTGTTAAAATATCAGCTAAAATGCAAACTTTGCAAATTGTCTGAAGCTTCAAATCAGGTAGTCAGCATCATCCATCAGATACCCTGCTGCGATGGAGTCGGTCACCCACGAGTCTCTAACAATCTTAAACTTCTTCCTGAAGTTCCGCCTCAGCATCCTCAGATCCAGGACTCTCGTCTCTTCCTCGACAACGACGTGAGAAACTCCTTCCTCCAACGTCTTCATCACCATCCCTCCGTGGTATCGAACCTCCAGCGCCCTAATGTCCAGACAGGTGGCACCTGTTGTGCTTTTCGGATCCAAGATGTCAAAGTAAAAGGTGAAGGGTCTGAACATGCTGGTGGGAAGGTCATCCCAGCCGTAACGCTCCTCCAACTGCGCCGCGCTGACGGACGCCGCCGCCGCCGCCTGCTCGCCGTCGATCCTGCTGAACACTTCCCTCAGCTGCTGCTCGTCCGTATTGACAAAGTAGCTGTCGCCATAGCTGTCGTACTCCTTGGCGAAGTGTTCCCTGGTCGAGGGCGACATGTGGATCATGTGGCGCGGTTGCCATGGCACCACTTCCTTCTGATCCAGGCACTCCAGCAGCCATGACGCCCAGACCACGTCGTGCTGATTGGAGGAAATCAGGTTCTTCACGCGCATGTTCTCCATGCCGGCAACCACGCAGTAAGTGTCCCGTCCCGGGTTCTGGACCACAATGCCGCCACACCTGGCAGCAAGACGGCCACACAATCAATTATTTGTTAAAAAGTATCTTGATAAAACATTTATGTGATTATAAACAAATGAAAAGACAGCCACTTTTATGGTTGTTTCATTCCATTCCAGTGAAAAACCACAGAAAATTTTTCAAATGTCATAAACAATTTGGTTGTGTCACTCTATTTCCATTTTTGATCCTGGTTTGGGTCAGTCAACTTCTTAAAAATTAAACGTTAAAAGGAAAGAAAGACGGAAGAAAGGAGGGAGGGAAGCATGTGATCTTACCTGGCCACGCCCTTCTCCAGCTCCGACTTTGGGTGACTTTCAGTGCCGTTCAGGATGCAGAACTCCACATCTTCAAACATGTCCATCTCTTTGGAAACTCCGGACAGATCCTGGGGCTTGAAGTGGTCAATGACGCCAACCACCTTCTTGGGTTTGACAGGCAGCTTCCGCTTCTTCTTCTGTGGCTCGTCGCTGTCGATGTGAAGGTGCCGCGAGGCCAGTTTCCCTGACGCCTTGCTGCGGAATTGATCCAGCTCTGCCAGAGTCATGCACTGGTGCCACTCTTTGTCCTCGCGGATCTTTTCGATCCTGGGGAACCGCAGGGTGCAGCTGGTCTTGTACATGTCGCTTCCGACTATCTCAGCCGCTTTGACCTGGATGATGACCGAGTTGCAGGGTTCGATGTACACTTCCGGTTTCTCCACTCCACAGAGGATGGACTGCGGCGGGTCGTTTTTCCGGTAGACTTTCCAATGCTTCGCAAGCTTCAACCCAAGGTCATACAACTCTTTCATGGTGTAACCCGAGCCAATTCGGCAAAAGGAGTGGAAAACCGACGGCTTCTCACCAGGCTTTGGCGCTTCTGCAATAGCACATAGAAAGTGGGACATCATCCCACCCCGTCTTCCTTTTCCCCAGTAACCACCAACAATCAGTAGGTCCAGCTCATCCATCAAGCCGTCCACATATTCTGGCTTTATTTTCAGCCAACCCTCCCCACGTTTATCGGGTTTGTAGATGGACAAAGGGTCCTTCACCATAATCCCTTCTTCCCTGTTGTCAATGGCATCATTAAGAGCACTAACAACATCTTGCATTGTTCCGACTTCTGTCTTTGGCACCACATGTATCCGACCCTTGACGGGGGTGAAGACCGTCTGGAGAACCTCGTATCGCTTCTTCAGGGGTTCTTTGCCCAGTTTTTGGTTATTAACCAGCAACACGTCAAAGACGCAGAAGCACGTCTGCAGCTCAGAGTCGTCCATCAGTCTCTTAATGTCAAATTTGCTCCCTTTCTGCATGAAGGTCCCCGCCGTCGGGTTGAACGCCATCATCTCGCCGTCCAGGATGCAGTTCACGACGTTGCTTTTGAACACGTTGTGGATGTAAGGAGTGAGCGATCCCTCAAGCGGTGATCCTCCGAACTGCTGCGTGTATTCAAATGCGTTCCGGCTGAAGTACTTGTACACGTCTCCATCCTTGTGAAGCTGAATACGCTCCCCATCCAGCTTCGTCTCAAGGTAAAAGGGGCTGTTTCCCATCTGCTTCTCGATGTTGCGGATGTTGGCCACCGCTGCCAACATTGGCTTGAAGGCAGAGAACAGTTCAATCGAGACTTCACTTAAAGACACAGAGGGGTTGTGCAGTTGCTGGCACACCTTCTTTAAGTCCGTGTTGACATTATAGAGCTCCGCGGCATCCGGGTGAAAGACCTGGAGAACAGTTTCCTTGCTGACTCCAAGCTTCATGTCCTTCAGAATCATCCTAATAAGCCACTTTTGCTCCAGAGCAGAGCTCTGAGTGATGAGATGCAACAGGCTCTTTTTCACCTGATCCTTCTGCTTGCTGGCATTGTTGATGGCCACTGAGTCGAGAAAGTCATTAACCTCTTTGATGCTGAGGTTTCCTTGGCTGGCACATCGCTTCTTCAGCACAAAGTACGCCATGCCGGCGAAATCCCCTGCTTCTCCTTGGGATGTAGTCGGAGCACGATAGTTCAGCAGCTTACTGGCTTCTGGGCCATTCTTTGGGAGGCCTAAAACATCAATGTAGAGCTTAGCTAGCATGCTCTCTTTGATGCCATAGGCCATTCGCTCTCGCTCAAAAGGCGGGACGATGAGGCGCATAGCAGGGTAGAAGGAGTCTGTAGTTTTCAGATTGTCCTTGTGGAGCGCGGCATGAAATTTCCGCCATGATTCAATGAAATCCCCAAGGATCTTGGATTTATCTGGACGCAGTTTGGACTTCTGGATTTTCTCTAAAGTTGTGCACAAGTGAAGGAAAGGAACCTGAGCAGCCACACTGGGTTCTGCAGCAGCCGCTCCGCTTTTGGAAGTTCCCTCCATCATTAAGTCTACAATAAACAGGATATAAAAACAATGCTTATTTTCATGTGAATTGTTATTTTCATTAGACTGTCACTCTGTTGCCAACAAACTAAATTTATACAGATAAGAATTGTATTTATATTCTAGCTTATAAATAATTATTGAAGCAATGTATCATAACATAAAACAACATTTACAAGTGATAATTTAGCAGTCAGTCACCGTGAATTCGTTTCAAATAGCGCCCCCTGGTGGAATCAATTTCTTAAAAGAGAACATACTGAACAGGGTAATATTGGCATAAAAACAGATGTAGAACTGACCTATTACTTTTCATTTTAACCCATTTCAGGACTGATTCAAGGGTGTTAGACTTGGGACTATAAAGGTCCAAAAAAGTCTCCAAAGAAGAAACAAATACTCCTTTTATTATCACTTGTTGTTGTTATTATAATATCATAAAAGATACTAATAAACCTTTGGGTTTATATTAGTGCAGAATAATTCCGTTCAGGTTTGACCCACTTTAGTATTTTACATCATAAAGCAAATGTGCGTAAAAGTGCCTAAAAATGTGTCCAAAAGTATTAAAATTAACCTTTATTTAAACGGCGATCAGTCGTGTTAAACATGTCTACTGTCCACTATGGGCCATTTATTAGTACCAAACTCCACAAAATAAAACAGACAACATTATCTGGTTACGTTAATTTAGCAAGTTCATATATTACAAGTTAGTTCTTTCATTTTAATTAGCACCTTAATTTTAAGACATTTTTACAAAACTTAAGCGACAGACGTTAACATTTAATCTTAATTATCTTCAGTTCGAGTTAAAAGCACGTTGACACTCATATTTTCAACATTAATAGACGAATTAATGAGTTAAAAAGTGCTACCGTGTTTTTAGTGTTCCTCCAACAAATATCAACAGAGCTACATCCTGTTACTTCCCACAAAGTGGTCCCCTAGAAACACGTTGAGATATTATTTGTTCCGACTTTAAATCGTGCGTTCGTCATTATCTAAATAAACTTGTATAAATGGATTCCCCCCAAAAAAATCTATTTATTTTTACGTATGTAATGGCAAGAAATGAAACACAACTATAGCAAACTAAAATGTTGTTATTGTGAAATATTGTTATTGTGATCTTGAGCGCAGCTCAAGATCACTGACTGTGAGGTTGTTAACCGTTAAAAATAATAAAATAAATCATATAAATTTTACATTTTTACTCAAGCATAAGTAAGAAGTAGCCATCTAAAAGCTATATAAGCATAAAAAGGCTACTCAAGTATTAACATAGCATGGAAATCTGGATTCATATTTAGAAATCATGCAATCAAATGGAGAAAAATATAAAGCTATGAGCAAATTCTAGTATTTTAAACGCTAGAATAAAAAATACAAATAAATGATATTATTACAATCAATAATTACTTTTCCAAATCGATTTATATAGCTGATAAAACTGATACAAGCTTTACATTTAGTGTTAGAAATGGTGAGACACTTATTAGAACAACAAAGTTTGTAAATAAGTCAGAGGTCTCACTTTGACTTGAACTGTCTGACCAAGGTCTGCAGACACTTAAGATGTTTGTTTAAGTTTAAACTGCTTTGTTTTATTATTGGTTTTGCTTTTATATTTGCTGAATGTTTTTTTAAAAATTCAGGATATTGAGTGGTGGATGGGAGATATACAAGTACTTATTTGTTGGGGAATATAATTTCAGGACATAATTACAAGTCTGATGGCCATCATACAATCAGATTCATGTTATATGTTCAGGTTTCTGCAAGCAAATCTGTAGATATGCCTCAACTTCACCTTGTTCTTAGTTTTATTTTTATTTCAACGTGTAATTTTGGAGACAGATAACAACTTTTTGTTGTATTTTATCATATCTGAATGTTTCAGATTATTAAATACATATTAATATTAGGAAAAGATGAAATGAGGAAGTATAAAATGCTGTTTTCAAAAATGATTTGCAGATTTGGTGCTACTTCTAATGAATTGGAAACAAACAATATAACATAATATATTATTATTTATATAGTAACGAAATTTTGAAAACAACCCAGAAAGTAAAAATGTCTATTAATTTTGCTTTCAAAAACAAACCAAGCCACATTTGGTGTTTACTGCTTTGTTTCCTGTAGGGGGCGACGTGTCACCGTGTAGGAGGAGCTTGGCAGCAGTGTACCTTGAGTCACACGTACCCACGGTTGTTTACTTTCCTCCTGCTGCTGCTGCAGTGGAGAACCGTGGAGCTTCGTTACCCGCTACAGCAGGGAACTCGCTGCGCTTTGACCAGACAAACAGTCCAGTGGAAGTGAAATCACGCCAGGCTGCTAGACATGGCTGCCGTGTCAGGGCACGCACCTGCACATGAGGGAGAAGAAGAAGAGATGGAGAATAAAAACAGCAAAGTGCCAGTCATGCAGAAGGCAGGGGGGGAAGTTACATAAGCCCTGCTGGATAAGGTGCTGCACTGCAACTCCGGGGCGACCTACAAGACAGTAAACAAGTGACGTCACTGCTTCCGTGGCATGCATCAGCTCGCTGAGAGCGAAGAGGAGGAGGAGGATGTTTGTAGTGAGCTGATCCAGGACTGAGGGAGATCACCATGGAAGAACAGAGGAAAAAGAGGGAGTGTTGATGATGATCAGGCAGCGCGTCAGGCTTCTCACTCACACCAACTGTTGGTGCAGAGACAGGCGTAAACACTTCCTGTCCCCCCTGCTGGGCGATGATGCATCACTGTGCTCACCCAAATGCTGCTCATTGATTATTTACTATAACTGGGGAGTTTTCCAGAAACACAACGGATACCCTGCTGCTCTGATAAACACAGATCCTCGCAAAGCTACTCATAAACAATGAACTTTATCGCTCCTTATTTGCAAGCAAAAATAATCTGTACTTACTTTTTAGCACAAAAAGCATCATGGGAATATTGTTTCACGGTGCGTAACATTACTCCTAAGGAGTTTTTTAATTCATATAAAAGTCTATTCTTTCCCAAAGTATCAACACAGCTTTTAGCTTGTGCGGTTTCTGAATTTGGCTCCAGGGGATCAATAAGTACTTGTGTAATTTAGGTCATCAGGAGCTGTTTTCCTCACCTGATTTGAGTGCTCCGACACAAAGCTTGTTGTGTTTGCAGCGGCGAACGTGTCACAGCAAAGGCAGCTTTAACTGATACACATCGAAGGGCGTATGAGAGTGCTTTCAGTACACTTTGTTCCCAACGCAAGCAGTCCCTAATGTGCATTCCCAGTGGTTGTTTTGTAAACAGAATAGGGGGGAAACCTTTTCTGATCCACCGTCGCCTCAAGGCACGACTGAACTCATCAGCGAACAGTCTCACTCGGTTTTCAGCTCACCTAAATTACACTCTGCACAACACTGTAAGGCTTTTTCTTCCTTCCCCCAGCAAAAATGTAATGACTAAAATTAGAGTGCTGCCCGTCTGTTTAATATCTGTCTGCATGTCTCCCTTATTTAGGTCTCAGTCATAAGTCGGAGTGTCCTAACAGCTCTCCCACTCCTTGTCTCGCCGGATTTTGGAAATTACTTTCAAGTAAAAGCCCTGTCGAGACAGACAGCTGAGCCGTGTGCCAGTCCTCCTTTGTTACATCATGAGTCCAGAGGTGATTCAGCCAGCTGACTTTTCTGTTTGAGCATCAAACTAAATGTGGACAGATGGGTAGAGATTGGATTGGTTTGGTGAAAGATGAACTTTACAGACTTCTCTTTTGCTAACTTGCAATGTTGCAGCAAAGATTTTGGGAATCAGAACTGGTGTCAATGTTTGGCTTGTGTAATTATTTCCAGAACCACAAATAGAGCATCGACCCTCTATATGTGGTGAGCAAGATGAGTTATAAAACTGGACTTGTTGCTCCGAACCTTTGAGCGGGACAAAGGAACGTGACTTTTGGACAATGGAGTTTGGAAGTCACTTCAATCAATCAAGTTGATTTGAACCTCTGATAATTTGTGTTTAGTTAAATCAGTCACACACACATTTGATGGGTTAATACGCCATCTTTTAGCCCTAGATGTGGTTAGCATAGCCACTGAGCTCAATTGTTAACAAAGTTATGTTAGATTATTCTAAGATCTGGAATAAACAGCACAAAATGATCACATTGTGAGTCGATGTGAACAGCTTTTTACTTTTATTCTTGGAACTTATATTGCAGCACTTTCCAGTACACCTTATCCAACTTTATACCATCAGCCGCCCTGCTTCAAGTCATAAAGCTGCACAAAATAACTCCTTACATAACACTGAAATGAAGTAGTTACATTGAGGAACCATGACGTTGAATTCAAACCGCAGAACTGTGCAAGAGCTGATTGTGGGAATCAAACAAGCCTGCTCTGCATCTTCTGTCAGACTGATGTCAACTCAAACGCATCAATCCACATCATTTTCCCTCCTGTGAGATGTCAGGGTGAACTCTCTTATCAACATGTTTGATGTTCACACAGGAACTACCCATAAATCATCTTGTTTATTGCTCTCCATTAAACCTGTGTGTTGTTTTCCTCAGACCTTGAGTTAATCTCAGATGCTTAGCAGTGATTTTACATTAACTACTATCAGGGCGTTTTGTAAACAAGCATTTAAACGCAGCCTTCGATCGTACATAGTCACTCTTACCTGCTTTCAAAAACAACAGGAGTGAACACACTCTGCTCCATGATAGTGTGACAAGCCATAAATTATTTGGAGACTATTTTTCTGATGACATTCACATGCGATGATGTCCTGCATCCTCGCACTTCACAAAGCAAGTCTAACTCGAAAAATAAACTAAAATGCACAAACAGGGCATACAAATGAGTAAGAAGCTAAAAACAAAAGGAATGAACTTCTGAGTCATGACCCAACCACAATAAAGAACCAAGAGGAATGAAGTGAAATTGGACAACCCAAATGACAATAATAAAGTCAGAAGCAATGCAAAAACAAAAACAAGTGATAAAACCCAGACACCAGTGGATCGTTAACCCACGCCTGAAAGAGAAATGCTCACCATCAGTTATTCAAAACAACTTTCAGGTCAAAGGGAAGCAAGAGATGCATCAATCGAAAACCAAAGCATTACTATAAACTCCTGAAACATGGTCACAATGAGCTTAAAGTAATCTTGATCTTCATCTGATCTGCAGCTTTTTGAAATCCTCTGCTACTTGCAACTCAAGTTACAACTCCACTTTGGTCCAACTTTGTGAGCTAATAGTATAACAGCATGCTAACCTCTCTTCCCGTAACACCCGCAGGTGCTATTTGGTTGCGTAAGCATGTGGCCTGATGCGAAAGGTCACGCTCTGTTTACAGCCTTCCTGCCATTCGTAACAGATAAATAACCTCATGCATAACGTACTGATTAAACTATTTGTTGGCAGATTCTCATTAATTCCTCTTTTACGTCTGATGTGCTTGGGCACAATCTCTTCTGGATTTGACTGCAGCATCTTTGCGTGCGGACACCCCTGATTAAGCCCCTTTGACTGTGTGTGTCTGTCTGAGTCTGCCATGTTCTGTAAGCTTTAGCCTGTGGCTGCCGTGTTAAACAGATGATTTACCAGGTTTGCGTGCACGCACACAGACCACCGAGGATGACTTCGGCTGATTCCTACAGGCGCTGACCTGCACCCGCCAACCTCCATGTGTCGCTTCTTGGAAACACGACACATGGAGGTTTTACTTCAAATGAACAATCACAATGGAAAACTTTCACTGGGTCGTTCTAACGGTCTAAAGTATGAATATATTTTATGTTTAGAATAGCTACAAGATAAACTTTCTCCATATGTGGACTGAATGCTAGTTTTAAAGGATCAGTATTATGTTAAATCAACTTTTTTTAGCTTTACATCATGTTAATATGTTATATATAATCATCGGAAACATACCTAGTGTGTTGTTTTAATTCTTTCATGCATGTTTGAAAAATCCCTTAATCTCATTGGCAACCATTAAGCAAAACGCCTAGCGGACCGAGCCCCACCTTTGAGTCACAGCTGCTCCCCTAATTAGCTCCTTCAGACTAGCCAGCAGCAATTAGCAAACATTATACTGATTAGAGGAGCTGCTTCTCAGTGAAACACAGCTGAAAATGTTGCTAAAGAACACATAATGCTGACCCTTTAAACAGTGTTATGGTTTTTGGTTTTTAACTGTATTCCGATATTTGCTCAGTGAATCTTAGTGAATATACTGGCAGGTGTTTTAGGACAATCAGACATTAGTTTGAGGCAGAGAAAAGCTTTGGAAAGAAGCACTGATTTAATTTAATTTAATTTAAAATGACATCTGTGCAAAATACTTAGAAAACAAGATGTGGCGTTTCCATATATGAGAACAATCAACACAATTGTGTGTGTTTCTACTACGCTCATCTGTCAAATATAAACTGAGTGGACCTTTATCTGTGTTGTGTGACTATAAAAGCCCTACTATTGGTCATAAAAACACATGCATTAGAAGCTTTTGCTCAAACTTGTTTGTGTTTGCGTAATAAAACTTAGCCGTTATTATGATACTTTATTTAATCATTGCTTTATGTAAAACAGACAAGCAAGCAAAGGGGGAGCATTATTAAGCTGTTTGTCTGCTTATAAGTCAGGGTGTGTGTGTGTTGTCCTGTGGCCAGGGTAACTCAGGGATGTGTACTTTCTGATAGATTAAGCCTTACATAATTCCACATTCCACTCAGCAGGTAAACAAGCAGGGGTGGGACTAAAAGGTCAGAAACAGTCAGATTCTGGCTCAGGCGTGGAGGCAGACACCTGAGCCTCAGGCAGATCCGACCCTCAGGGACCCATCTGCAGATAAAGTAAAACAATCATCACATTGACGTGGTTTAGAAAAATCAATAATGAAAAGAAGAGTAGTATAATGCACTCTTTGTTCATTTAAGTCAGAAGAGTTGATTCAGAGGTGCAAATCTATGACTCTGATTTCTTTAAACTCCAAATGCAGCAAAATGTTACTGGCTGTCAAGTGGGGATACTTAAAGTAAATAAAAACACGATCCAGATGTTGTTTTGAGAGAATCTGCCTGGCACTCCTTGAGCCATGCTATAGATCTGGTTCTTTTTAAATGAGAAAACCCTTTTGCAAAGGACCTTTTAGTGTTTGGAATAAAGAAATGATGATGAGGAGGAGGATGAACCACAGTGACAAAAATAATTTACTTTATTTCTTATGTTTTTGAAAAACTTTTAAGCTTTCTTGTTACGTTTTTCTTGTGGCCACCCCCTTCCATTGCTGCCCTGGGCAAGTGCCCATGTTAACCACATAAAATACTGGCTCTGTTCATGCTATGCATCTGCCAAAGCACAATAACTCAAAACACATGCCCACAACGGCATAAAAACCCAGATTCAGACTGCACTGACCAATCACTGAAATATGGTTAGACATGAAAAAATGTCTTTAAAAACGTCTTTGTCGCTCAGTGTCTCTTTGATTGTGTTTGTTTTCGCTCAGTAAAGGTCAGAAACGCAGATGGAAACATGAATAATCCCCCAGGATTTATGTGCATGACTGTATGTGCGCAGCAAATTCACCATAACTCCTAATCTCACTTTGCGTGTTGTGCGATGAAAGACTCCAGGCTAAAAATCTCAGCCGGCCGTGTTTCCAAACACATGGGATTAAGTGTTAGAGAGCAAAGTGTTTAAAGTGGGTATTTACTGCATGCTGTTTCTGAGGATTGAAAGAGATTCATCTGATCACAGAATTTGTGTTGTGTGTCCACCTCATATATAACATCCACATCATTGCTTGATCAGCTGTTGCCATTTATTGTAGTGAATACAGTGAAGTTGTCGATTACATGGCAACCTGGGCTAAAAAGGCCATTTACTCATATATCATTGTTGAAATTGTCTAATAAATAAACAGATATATCAGTGTCTCCAATAAGTTGGTTGAGTTATGTCTCCACCAGCTTCTCCAGCAGGGATGTCCAAATCTACTACTACTGGAGCATAAAAGTGAGTCACCAAAGAGATGTAAGCCAACCCAATACCGGCTTTCTCACAGCGCTGTCATTCCTGAGAACTTCCATTGCGAAACATGTTTGTGAGCATCGGCCGATGAGCCAGCATGCAGACTGGGAGGCTGGAGTCTTCTGCTTGGTAAACAGCAGCAGGAGTGTCTGCCGAACGCGGTGGGAAAAGACTCGAGCTCCACAGGCTGTGCAAGCACGTCAAGTCTGAACACCGAGGTCTGAGAAGAACAAAGCAGCAACAGATTACACATTAGCAACAGCATGTGAGTGGCTGCATGATGACTTCATAATAAAGCTCTGAGTAATACAAGAAACCCCTCAAACATCTCACAGCTGAAAGGAAGGCAGCATCTTACTTTGGTTATTTCAGCTTTGAGGGACTTGTGCTGAAAAACAAGGTTCTTTGTTGTTTATTCCAGAACACAAAAAAATTGACTTGAAATTTATTTTGGAAGAACTGTATCCTTTTATAGACATTCAGTAGAAAAGTTCATGGAATGAAATGTGCTTGGTAAAGAAAAAAATCCTTTTGGACTGAAAAATGAACACAAGAATTGCATTATTATAGATAGTTTTCTGTTATGATACACTAAAGCACCAATAATCTGTTGTTTTTTCCTTCTTACTAAAATCAAATAAGATGTCATTAAAGTAATTACAGATTTTTCACTTTTTTCCTTGAGAATTGTGATTTTTTTTTTTGGCTGTGTATTCATAGCAATTTAAAGGCAGCAGTTTGTATAAACACGCCACCCCGACATTGTTACAATTTATGTCAGTATGTTATATTTCATGGGGGATAATCCGTGCAGCGTGCCTCGGTCATCTCCTCCGTGAGGAGCCAGGGTTGGCTGCTGTAAGTGGGTCACTGCTCCGCCCTGCACGCCGCTGCGCCATGGAGTTCGCTGAGCCTGGCTGAAACCCTCCTTAGGCTGATTCAGGGAGAAATAATGGGGCCAGTGACTCCCAATCCCCTGAAGAACCTCAGCAGGGGGAAAAAGCCCAGTGGAGCCAAAGCAGCCTGCGCCCACATGCCTGTATTTTACTTTTACTGTGCTTTAATTCACATTGCAGTGGCTAAATGAAGTAAATAAGGACCATCCAGTCATATGATTGGACCTTAATGCTGTAGATCTGTTTGTCAGTTAGTTAGAAAGGCTTTGTATGTCCAGTAGTAATAAAATTACCCAATCCGAGTTCAGCCACTTATTGAGTTAGGAGTGGGTTTTTAATTTAACCACACTAATGTGATCTCATTTAGGAAGCAACACCTGCCCTCCCAGTTCAAAGCAGGACATTTACTGGATCCCAGTCTGCTCCAGTCCTAAGGAGAAAACTCAACGTCCTGTAAGCTGCATTTAAACTGTTATGACAAAAGCACAGAGGAGTCTTTTTGCATTTTTTGCTTACATTCTCCATTGCAGTATGTAATCTGTGCAGAGGAGAGTGAGGAACAGCGTGTTCTTACTGGGTTTTCATAGGAAGCTCGTTTCTGCCTAGTAGCAGAGCATTGTCTCTGTAACTGTGTCAAGCTGCTAATTAATACAGCTGGATGTATGCCTGCCCCCTGCAGAATGCATATGTGTTTATGTTCTGTACACAATGTACAGAACACACTTTTTGTGTCACACACACATTTTAGATCAAGCTCGTAGCTGAATGAATGCAAACATTAAATAAAGACTTTGTCTATGTAAATATTAATTTTAAATCAAATTTTTTTAAAGCTAAATCTCTGTTTGGTAACATGAAGGAGGCTAAAATATTCCATATTTCAAAAATTGTCATAAGCTGAACTCTTCCTGAACTCCAAACTGCGCTATCTTGGAAAACTGTCTTGACAGGAAGTCATTTGCTCATGATTAGCTTCCTGGTTCTTTCGCCATCAAATAAAAGTTCTGTACGAGTCAAAAACAGGATATTCTGCGTGTGTACAGGAAGTGATTTGAGTCAGTGCCAACTATATGACAGAATTAGAAAGTCAAATTTGCAAGATGGATAAGACAAAAAAAAAAAAAACAATACAGTTGTGACTCTTTAAATAATTTATTTATTTATTTATATGGTTGCTATCCATAATTAATACAGACAAAAGTAATACTTGATTACCAGAATTTATAAATCATATTTATCTCTTTTGAGCATCTTAATAAACAGCATATTGAATTATGTACAATGGAAGACAACACATTCAGACTGAGTCAATCCAAGTAAAGAACGATCCGTTCAGACACAGAAATGGGAAAAACACTTCCAGACACGTCAACAACAAAATTCCCAGCAATGAAAAACACTTGGCAGAGAGAAAGAAAATATATAAAAGGAGCAAAATTGCTCCAGTTTCATGGAAAAAAAAGGATCAATGCAATGTTACATTTGGTTCCATAGTTGTAAACTATTTTTGATTTATGTCAATATTGCATATGCCATCAGGAAAAGTGTGTCAACAAGGCAAATAGATCTCTATAATAAAATAAACCAAGTTTTTTTGTTTTATATAATCAGACTGTGAGGGAGAAAAGCATACAATACACTGTACAGACCCAAAACAAACCCTCCCATCTTAAAAATCTGTAGCCAAAGTCTTTACACAGCAACAACATTGCAACATAGGCCAAATCTAAGAATACAATATTTTAGGTAAACTCTTTTCTATTTACACAATATATTTACAAACTAAAGATAAATAGATACCATAAGTTAGCTTGGTGCAGCTCCAATATTATTCAACACTTTGAAAACCATTTAAAATCTGCGGTGGTCCCGCAAAAATCAGCGATACATTCAGACATGGAAAAGTTTGACAATCTCCTGTACATCTGAGGGGCTTGAAGCCAGTTGGTGTCGGCACAGAAGAGCTCAAAAAGACAGCAGAAATAATAAACGGCCATAAAAAAAAACCCGTCATCAAACACCGCAGCAACCATTTCTGGAGCTAATTTGACTTATTTGTTTCATTTTAATAAAAAAAAAAACTGTGGAAATAATCAATTTTTCTGTGAGTGGATGAAAGTGGAGTAACGTAATACGGCACTCAATTAAAGAAGTTTTCACATTTACTAGTACAACCTAGTTGCTTACAGCAGCTAACGTTAGCTATTGCTAGCAAAGCTAACGTGACGGATGTACAGCAGTATACTGAGGCAGTTCGCTTTATGCTACATGTTAGCATTCATCCATACGCTCAAATGTTTCACTTTAGATATATTTTTAAACTGTTTGATAGTTTAGAAGCAACAAGCTAATTTCATTACTGTCAAGAGTTTTTTTTAGCTAACAGTTGATAATGTTAGCAAAGACTTAGTCACTCATTCGTATATTTTATTTCTTACCAGCAAAAAGCAGTTTAATTTTCAAATTTTTTATATTTTTTGACAGCAGCAAAGAGTTGGTAATATTGGCAAAGGCTTTTGGGTATGTCAAACCTTCCATTTGAATTATATTTCGGTTAAATACTTCAGTGATTTATGTCATTTTCCAACCAGTTTCCATTGATTGTGGTTCTGGTGTTTCTCACTGAACTGCTTGTTGTTTTATAGAAATAATATAACAAAGTTTCCATACTGTAGTTGACTAGCAGTTACAAAAAAGTTGTTAAAGTATTTCCTGCACATCCCTGATGTGATGCATTACTGCAGACCACCAGCACGCATTAGCGAGGACTTATGATTTTTAAAATCTTTAAAGTTTTCTCTTGCCACGATCCTCTATGATGGTGCTACGGTTGAACTTTTTCCTTCTTTATTTCCAGGTTAAACCGACTCAACTGTGCCTCCAATCTAAAGTTGGCTTTTCCCCTCCGTTATCATCTCAGTGTTACAGTTGTACAGTCAAATGATATCACAGCAGGGAGGCCTGCGTCCACCCGAACAACAAGCCTTTGGTTTGAAGGTAGGAGTGTGTGAGGTTTTCAGGCTCAAGTGACTGAGGAACAGTGCCTGGTGTTATTATTGTTATTATTATTATTTTAGGATCTCAGCTAAGTCACAAAAAGACATGCATAAACATTTAGAAATATAGTTTTACTAGTTCAATATGTTTGGACAAAAAACATAAAATGGGTGAAATTATCCGTTAAGAAAATACTTTAATCAGCTCTCAAGCAGCCAAACTGGTTCTGTACATTTCAGAAATAATATATATTTAATGGTTAAATATGTATTTTGCTTTCCACAAGATAATAATATAGAGATGTAGGTCTAAAGAAATATACCCTAATAGAATATTTATCTCTTATTTCATAGAAAACATAAAAGGACATTATACACATTAAGGCATCGGGTAGGTCTTATCAAACATTCATCATCCAAAAAATAAATAACACGTCTAATGTGTACTACTCTATATACTTATATATATATATATATTCTTGTTTTATGTACTCAGTGTACCTTGGTATTCCATCCCTGCAGAGTGCAGCAGGTTTTACGGTTCTCAGAAACAAACACTTGCACACAAAATCTACCCTCAAGTAAATAATAGGTAACTTGGTACCATTAGAGCTTTGTTATTGTCTGACTATCTTCGCTTCTGTGCTTGTGCCAAAATTTAGGTCACAGGAGAAATGGCCTCTCAAAGTGCGGGGAACACGAGACGTACCAACACACATCCGACACACACTCTCTCTCACACACACACCTGTACTGCTTTCAGCAATACACTGCATGCATAGATGGTGACCTGCTTTTTTCCGAGTGTGTGCAAGCAGCCGGCTTGTGATGCTGATGGGTCCACACAGTCTTTTCGGGTCACGGAGCCCAACGAAGGGGCAAAAACAAAACAAAAAAGTCTGTTTTTTTTCTCCTTTTCTTGCTTGTTTTCGTTTCGAGCAGCAGTTCAAGACCCCAAAGCCGAGGACGAGTGAAGTCCTTCAGTCTGAAGAGATGAGAAAAAGAGGAATTTAATGAAAAATGCAGGAAACTTTCAATAAAATCACCAATACAGGAAATATAAACAGGAACTTAAACAATACTAGTACCTCCAACAAGTTTTAAAAAGAAATTAATTTCTAAACTTATAATGGCCCTCCCCCACCTGTTGCTGTTTATATAGGCATTGAGTGTAAATAGGGCAGGATTTAAATGAAATTTTATTCTAGTACCGTCAGACTCACCGATCCGATATTTATATCTGTATCGGTTCCGATGTACTTTTTTTTTTTCAGATCAGATAGTGGAAACACTTTGCAAATCTATTCAGTCTACTTCTATACTTCATACTTGATTATTGATTTTAGCTTACATTTGTATCAGATCAGTATTGGCTGATTTTAAACCCAGAGTTTCTTGCAGTGTTAGCCTGGCTTAGCTTTGCTTATTTACTTAAGTCTTTTTAAAATGTTTGCATTTTTAAGACTTTATAGTTGCTGTTCAGGTGTTAGTCTTCCAATAACACTTAGTTGTCTACTTTGAAACCTCAGATATCGGTTTTAGAAGTGAAAAAAGTGCATCGGCTCATCCATAAACGATAGATATTGTAAAATATTCTTTAAATTTAAAGAAATTTAAACTAATTTAAATTTAAAGAATTTAAATTTCGGCTGAAATCTTTGCATCAAAAACAAACCAACCATAAATAAATGTTATAGATGGAATTATAACCACAACGTGAGAACATCTAGCTCTTGTTTTTTCCCGTCTCAACCCGGTTTGCTCTCACAAACACTGGCGCCAATTAAGCGGACCTTCGAGACAGCAGAGGAAGGAGCGTGGAGGGAACACAGTGTTGCTCTCGTACTGTACAGCGTGAACCCATTCAAAGAGTCGGATTGCTTTTCATGCCACAAAAGAAAAAAAAACACCACGTTTCTGTTAAATATCAAGAACAGGAAGTTCTGGACGCCTTTTTATTTTTTTATTTGTGGATCTGTCATTTATCCCTCCTGACAGAAAGAGAAAAAAAAAGAGTTGATTTTTTATTTTTCCCCGACTAAAGCTAATGCATCAGCTGTTTCCTCTCTATATGTCTGTGTGTGTTGGAGAAGAAGGCTGCTGCTCTGCAACACTAATTACATAACCAGGGATGTAGAGCGATGATGGAGGGGCGGGGGCGGGGGGGGTCTCGTGTCGCTCTCCTGCCCTTGTTGCCATGGATACTGAGCAGGAGGCCAGGCAACAAGCAGCATCTGTGATATGAAGTGTTCAGACACAAACTCTGCGTTTAGCAGATGTTCATGCAGCGTTTGGTCACGTGTGAACGGACAGAGAAAAAAGTGGGAAAAAAAAGTCCCAGAGTTATTCGTTGTATGGAACAGAAGAGATGCTGCACACTGCCAATCAGCAGGCTGAAAAAAACACAATCATTCATTGTTGCTTCGACGTAATGAACCGTTCCTACAATAGGAAAGGGAAGCAAATCATTTAGAAAAATCCTCTTTATGATATTTCAAGTTTATTGGCTTATTCTTCTGCATGGAACATAGAGAAATTAGGTGCTGCCCCTCCCCCACATGTTGCTGGACACTATTTCTAGCTTAAAAACCACACAAACAAACCTGGCCTGAAACATGAAAATAAAAACAATATTTACCAGGTGTTTGCTCTATATTTTTATTACATATATGTATCTAAATCATACTGTAGATATTTTTTTTATCTAAATATAACAAAACATAGTTATTTATTTTTACTTTTTACGTCTGTCACTATAAATTGTCCCAGAAATTATTGCGAAACAATAATATTGTAGCTCAGAGATATTTTTCAAGCAATACGTTCTTCAAAAATGAATAAACTTTAAATTATAATAAACATTTAACACTTTTAAAGGCATTTTAATATGCAAAATGAATAATAATACTTTTATCATAAAGTATTTGGTAGAAAAACAGAGAAAAATTATAAACGTATTAACTGATTAATTGATTTATTACTGTTACTTATTTAATATTAAGTAAAATCTTGCATTTCTGAGGCGACGTGTGTTCCCCAGCTGCTGACCGACCGACGGCAGCTCTTGCTGATCAATCCCCCCAACCCTCAGCCATCTAATCCCGCCTGCAGAGGCAGTAATCTACTCTGGAGCCGCGGCCGGCTAAATGTGGGGAACGCTGGCCGCGCAGTTAGCGCTTCAGTCTGGAACATCCCGGCCTAGTTTAGCGCCCACCTCCCTCCTCTCACCTCTCCACTACACACACAAACACACACATGCGCGCGCACGGCGGCTGGAAACTCTGACACCAGATCCTTTGGGGCTACGTGGGTATGTTTGTTCTCCATAGATCATGTAACATGACATTTCTGGATTGCCACCGTCGCCATGCTAACAGCACCGTGGAAGTGAATAAACTATTTACCAGGTGGTTTGATTGTATTGATTCACCTTTAGTCGATACAAAGCGTAACAAGAGCCAAGCGATGGGGAAAATGTGTGCCAATATACGCACAGATGACAAAATATACACAATTAACTGAGAACATAATTTCACTGAACTCTCAACACGACATTTGCTGCATTTTGATTCAACAAAAACAGATAAAATTCAATCAAATTAATGATTTTATTTAACTACCTTCAACTAAAGTAATGATTTTAGGTCTGAAACAAAAAAAAGCATGAATCTGTTTGTGGGAAATATAAAAAAAAGAAAAGAGAGGCTTAAAGGTAGATTACAAAAATTAAGTTTGCAGACACAAAATTAAATTTCTTAAAATTTATTCCCTCAGTTTTTGTTTTATTTTTCAGAATCTCACATCTTAGGAGGTAAATGTTTTTTTAAAAAAACTTCAATTAAAAACTGAAAAAAATGAAACAAACTGTTACTATTTAATAAGGGCCTCATTTCACATACAGCCAAGTTGTACACAGTGTCCTGAACAACTTCCTGTTTTAGTTAATGAATCTAATGGGGCAAAAGAATTTATTGTTATGCTGGAGGTTTAGTACAGAATGTCTCCTAAACTCTGGAACAGGTTTTATCAAGCTGAAAGCTGATTGGCCAGAACCGGAAAATATACAGTCCAGAAATGAAGGTGAAAGTGATCACAGATTGAATAAATCAGGAGATAAATAAAAGTGCAAAGAATTGTATTAGGGCCAAAAGGACTGTATTTCCATGAAAAAAATAACAATTTCCGAGTTTAAAATGTTGTAGATTTCCTAGAAAAAATGTTGAAATGTTTTTTTTCTTTAAAATGAATAAGAATAATCTGAAAATTTGTCAAACTGAAATTTTCTAGTTTTGCTCCCTAAAAATTTGAAATTTATCTAAAAACTTCTGAATTTTTTATGAATCTTTTCTCAACTTTTCAAACATTTTCTTGTTTTTTCCAGAACATTTCTGAAATTAATCTAGAAATGTTCCTGTTTTTTCTAGAACTTTCTCTAGTTAATCTAGAAAACGCGCGGTGCAGCATTGTCTCAGCGATGACATCATTCACGCTACAACCGAGCGGATGACGTCGAGGTTGGGGGGGGGGTCAGCGGGATTTGAAGAGATTGATGTGGATGTCTCTAATCTGGTTTGCAAATTCCTAACACACACTCCATCCATGTTGACGGGCGCTCTCTGCAACCCGGGCAGCGGCAGATGGCGGCTTGTCAATGCAGCGGTGTCGATATGTGCATGAGGAATGGAAATTGGGAGACGAGTCAAAATAGCCTGGGGTGGCAGCTGTTTAACCCCTCCTGCCCTTTTATTTCAACCTCAATGCTATGGAAAGTGGTCATCTGCCCCTGTGGCCGTTTTACCGCTTTTTTAAAATCACATCCGTCCACTGGTGCTAAATTCCAAATATTAATATATCAAACTCCAGCAGCTATGATCCGCAGCTGATAGAGATTATCTTGGACGTGGAGATGGAAATAGAGACGGCTGACTTTGCTAATCTGGGTCTGGTACAGAACATCCACCTGGCTGAGCCGCAGCCCGCCACGGCCGTCAGTTGGAGAGCAGAAGTAAACACCGCCATAAGGTCACATGGGTCGAGTGGCACAAACAAACCCTGGTTGACCCCAATGCCAGCCGTCTTGAGTCGACATAATGGGTGTAAAAAGTCATCATTGGACAAAGCGGCTCGGTTACAGCTAATTTATTTGGGGTCCTTGCCCCTGTAAGCCACCCAGCCTAACTGGATTTCACATCCGCAAAGGTGTTTAGTTGGAATTAAAAGCTGCAGGGCATTGGGTCAAAACGCCCAGCAGGACGTCTGGATGCATCAAACCGTCTCCACGCCAAAAGCCCCAGTAGCAACAGAACGGAGCACCCTCTCGACAAGCAATCAACTTGTCATCAGAGGCTTAAATCGGGCCGGAGCAGAACCAGTTTCATCCAAGCAGAGCCTTAACAAACACCCCTCCTCCAACTGCTCTGTATCCAAAACCAAGCTCCATCCCCCCAACTCTCTGCCTGTCTTACTTCAGTCTAATGAGGCAGAAGGGCAGCAGAGTGCACGTGCCATCCTGCCCATTATGCACGCATTTACTGGCTTCCTCTCCCACAAGCAGCAAACCGCTGGAAAAACAACAGCCTGCTATAGGTCTGAGGGAGACGAGCCGCTCTGCATGTGTACGTGCAACACTCCTCTTGCATGTACTTTCTTTTCTTCCTCCCTCTCTCTCGTCAGGGACGAGCTTTATGAGTGCAGTAAAAAATATTTTCACCCTCAAGGAAACAGGAGCTGTGACACATGTCAACCATTTTACCAAAAGTTGCTTTAACTCCTTATTTATCCAAATATACAAATCGTCTTGTAAACATAATTTATCATTTTATGCCACATGCATTCTGCATCTAGCTTCGATACATTTGACATAATTGCTTTAAAACAGTCTATTCTTAAAGTTTAATGTGGAATAAAAATACTGCTAACACGGTAAATTTCAGTGCTTATGCAGAATTTATTTTCTGGTAGAGTTAAGTGGCAATGAGCAACAACAAGTGGGGGAGGGGCGGTGCTGCTACTGTTATACTGTTAGGGGAAAAAAAAAAAAAAAACACACTCCTAAACCTTGAGAGTAGAAATGCTCAGTTTGCGTCATAACTACAGTTTGCTGCATTCCACCTTGTTTACCAGCGTCACTGACTGCAAATATGAAGAACTAAAGCTGTACGTTTCTCTACCATGTGCTAAAAACGAAGCAAAATTCATTTTGTGGAGAAATAAAAGATGCTATTCTAAAAGGGGCCTCTCTCATTGAAACTTTTCAGGAAAGCACGCTCATGTTGGGGTTCAACACACCAATCCGCTCCGCATCTTGACCCTGTACGTGCTCACAGGCAGTCGCGAGGTCCCCAGGGATGCAGGGGTCAGACCTGTTTACCACTGCCTGGCTCACAGCAACATTCTGGGACAGAGTATTGATTGCAGGATAGTGGGAATGGTGTGAGAGGGGGCATTTGTGGAGGTCAACACGTCCGAATGCCTGTCCAAGTGTCAAAACAACATCCGGAGATGACATGTCAACAATCTGCAATTCTTCTGATCAATTACTAGGCAAAATGTTTGCAATTAATCCCTAATAAACATGAAGAGATGTGCCGTTAGCTTGCATATTCCTGACATCTGCAGCAGCAGTGCTGCTCTGTCATGGTGCTTGTTTACTTCCACACTCTCAGCCTGGTCACGTTTCACCACAGCCTTGTGTTGCGTTCACACGCATTAGGGAAAAGACGGGAACACACAGTTCCGGAGCTCACAGAAGCAGCAGGAAGAATCTAAAGAAGGTCTAAAAACAGCCCTTTTGTTTTGTGACGTTCCAGCAACAACGTGTTCATCTTTTTTACAGGCAAATTTTGGATGCAAGCAGAACCGGTGTTAAGACTTTGGAGCCAATGAGAAGCTGCTGGAGTTTCCTCCTACTTATGTGCTTTGAAATCCACAGAGCTACTTTGAAGTCAGAGGAAATGCCTTCAGCCTTTTTTCACTTCACTATGTGAGAACCAGTTGTAGTAGCTGTTTAGTGTCGCATTTGTTGAAACACACTTCAGTAGGTATAAATGAAAGCCTTGAGTCAATTCGTTCCCTACCCATACTGTACTCTCTAAAAAGTCCCTCATTAAACTGATCCCACTTTGCACCAGTTGACTGTTGTAGAAAACTAGACTAAACTAAACCCAAACAACTCATAATCATCAGTTTAAATGTTACCAAGATCAGCATCATTCAGGTGTCTCCACTGATACCCAACTGTTACTAGAACAAAGAAATATCAAAAGATTAAAGACCGGCCTCCTTACTCACCTTTGGCAGTGGTTGCAGTCTCTTTGAACCCCAAACAGACGTAAGGTGTGTTGTGTAATCTGTTGATGCCCCCTTTGCAGCTGCTGGTGGGTTTAAAGCCCACCAGGTCTCCACATTTCTCCACATCCCTGTTTTCGAGTAGGTTCAAGGCGATGTAGTTCAGTTCGTTAGAGTAGCCGGTCGAGCTGTGGCTGGTCATGGGACTGCCGTACTCCTCATCGGAACCCTCACTGCTGCGGGACGAGATGTTCTCCACCGAGCTCGGCCTCTTCACTGCGTCACCGCGTGCGAATGAGGGAAAGACCGGCGTCACTGTGGCCGTGGAGGAGAAGGTTTCTGAGCTGTGGCGCCTTCGCCCTTGTGGATTGGCCCGGATGACCTTGGCAGAGCGGTCTGGGTCCACGGGTGGGGAAGTTGCTGCTCCAAGCAGGAAGACCCCAATCCGTTCAGGAACACCTTGGTCCTCAAGAGATAGCCGTCTCTCCCTGCAGTTCTGGCTGCTGGAACACAGTGTTCAAAATAGCAAGAACATACACAAACATTTTAATAACTCCTTCATGTTTTTACAACATAAACTTGAAGCCTTTACTATACGCCTTTTCCAATTTAAACCATATTGGATTTTCCTAAACGGCAGATTTGATTTTCTTCCACAGAAAACTGACTATTTAAGAAGTTCATGTCTCGACTGAAATAACTTTCATATAATCATTGCATTATTTATCAGTTATGATGTAATACAACCATAAATAATGCTGGAAAAGCACTACATTTCATCACATACCTTGAGTTCTGAGGAACAAGCTGTGGGGGTGAGCTGGTCATCGCAAATGTCATCTCAGTATAGTCATTTTTCACCTCATCGACAAAACTTCTGGAGTTTTTCTCACACTCTACATGGTACACAACATCCTCTGAGCAGGGGCATGAGGACAGCTCAGGCAGGGTATCCAGTCGCTCAACCGGAGTGTCAGCCTCCTTGGGCGAGTGCGAGCCCAGCTCCAGGTTCATGTAGTCTGACAGAGATGACCGCCCTGGGCCCCCGCCGCTGGACCCCAGAGAGGAAGACTGGCTCTCTGTGGATACGATGGATGGTGGAGAAGATCTGTTGCAGCTGAAGTCGATGTTGATGTACTCGCCAGGGCTGCGGGGCTCTAAGGGCAGGGGATGCTCATTCATGCTGGGCAGGGTCCTCAGGGTGTCCAGAGACAGCCTGTTGGGTCTCCCCAGCCTCCCTCTGTAGGACAGATTGTCTGCTCGATGATGCCTGACTGGTGAGGGGACTGAGGGGCTCAGCGGTGATGTTTGAACTGCACACGGCTGCATTACTGAATAATAGTCTGACTCCCCAGTCTTCTGCCTTGAACTCTGTGGGCTCATCAACACATACTGGCCACTGTCTTCATTGTTGGATGACTGAAGTTTTGCAGGCAGTGTGAGGGAGCCCGTCTGGTAAGCCAGCTTAATTGACGCTGGTTCCCCAGCGAGAGGGCTTAAGTAGTAATCAGGAGGGGTCTGCAGAGGGGGTGGGTTTCCAGGTGACATGTTCATGTATTCGCCGTGTCTGTCAGGACTGTCCATGGAGGATTTGGAGCCACACCACATTCTCATGTATCCACTGTCTTCCAGAGAGCTGCTACAGGGAGAGTTGGCCTTGTAGTCATTGGTAGCTGCCTGGGGATGCACCCTGGGGTTGACGATCTGCTTTGGTGCTGAGACACACATGGGGCTCATGGGTACATAGTTATCCATCTTGCCAGACTGAGATGCTACACCTGGCGTCATGGGCATGTAGCCATCATCACCAAGGTTGCTACTGGAGCTCCTGGATGAACCAATTTCGATGTCCCCATAATCCTCAGGATAGCATACTTTGGGTGAAGCAGAATGGGAGTTTTGCCCATGAGCCATCCTCATTAGAGTATACTCGTCCAAGGAAGCAGAGGACAATGGAGTCACCACCTTCTGTTGGCGTGGTGTGGTGAGGGAGTGCGTTCGCTTCCTGTATGCCTTGTCACAATTCTGACCCTCGATCCCACAGTTGGACCTGCTGCCGTTAGCCCCCTCCATGAGCATGTAGCCACAGGGGTCGCTCAGGTAACGGGATGGAGGTGTGCTGGACAGGGAGTCAGGGGTGTCACTGCGTGTCATAGTGAGAAACTTGTGTTCACCTGGGCTGGAGCTGAAATCATCACAGAGAAGGATGCCAGTGTCGCTCAGGGAGCCAGATATGGAGGCGCTGCAGCTGAAAGGACGTCTGGCTTTGTCTGGAGTTGAGACCCTTGTTCCTCCCCTGGGAGATGAGCTGATGGGGCTGGAGGCGGCAGGAGGAGAGTTGGACATTGGCATTGAGCGACTGTGATGGAGATTGCATGCAGACTCCAGTATTCTGCATGTGCGTCCGTTGCTAAGGGGGTGGGACCTCATGAGATGATTTCCAGAATTGGGACTGGTGGGACTCTCACCCACTGGTATGGACATAGACACTGGCCGGGTTACGCTTCCATCTCCCTCACTGGCTGTTCTTATCTGACAGGATGTGAACTTCCTCCCTGGGGATGTGGCAGCCATGCTGTCGGTTCTGGATCTCCTCACCAGCCCGGTCTGACTTGGGGGAAGGTTGTTGAGGTTGCGCCGGGTGGGCACAGAGATGGGGTTGGTGCTGGCTGACTGGCTTTTGCTCCTCGGTCTGAATTCAGAGAGCTCTTTCATTGCCTTCATTGCCTCCAGGATGGTCTCATGGATGTTCTGTGCTACCACCGAGTCTTCTGCCTGCATCCAGAACTCCCCTGGCCCGGTTACTGCCGATCTGCCCACCTCTATGAAGAAGAAGCTGTCTGAGTGGCCACATCTCCTGATGTTCATGAGTTGAAGGTTGACAGCTGGTGTGTCAGAGTTCAGCTTGACAAAGCTGATGTTTCGGTTAGATAAACACAGCCTGTAGACTCCGGTGAGGTTTTTGATCTGACCCAAGCCTCTGGATTTCAGGTTCACCTGCCATACCTCCTTGTAGGTAGCTGTTGCAGGAGTAAGCTGTCCGTAAGTGGTCTCCTCAAACCCCACTAAAGAGGATGTGGAAGCAGGGCTGTCAAACACTTTGCTCTCTGCTATTAAATCAGAAAGAACGGAGAACCAGCTCTCCTGCTCATGCTCGTTTTCTGCAGCCACAGCAAAGTATTCGTCCTTGGTGTAGAGGGCGATGAGGTGCTTGTGTTTGGCATCGGCGCGTTTATTTACGCACAGACAGGAGTCCAAAGTTATGAGGCGTTTGGCGGCGGACTTATTTCTCCATTTCTTCTCGCTTTCATAGTACTCCAGCCGTGCGGGACAGCGCTCCGTGGGCTCCCGCAGCACGAAGAACCGCCTGTGTCCGTGTTTCTGCTTCCTCAGATACCCGCACTTCTTCACGTCATTCGTCCCATTAGATAACAGGTGTCCTCCCGTCGCCGGAGGACTTGCCATTTCTACGGAATAAGAGGATAAAACGCTCACAATAAAAAGAAAAGGTTACCCGTTTACGATATTCCACAGCGGACAGGAAAGCCCGCTGCGGTAAAAACAGCAGAGCAGTGCGAGAGACCAGCGGATCTGATGCTGGAGAAAAACAACATGTGACGCTGCTGCTCTAAAAACAGACTAAAACACAGAGTCATAGGGGGCGGGGCAGCTTGCAAGAGCAGCGACATAGAACAAGACAAGGAGAAGTCGCCTTGCCGTCCATGTCCAGTAGGAAAGATACTTCAGCGCGTCCGCCATATTGTGAGTGTCAAATTCTCCTTGGAAACAGCATTTTCTCTGTAAAAGTCGTCCTAAGAATGGCATTCAGAACATGTAGATCCACCATTGTTGTATAAAAATATATGTATTAATTCTAGAACTAAAATTTGCATTTCGGAGCATTTTAGTTGAAAAATGGTTAAAACCAATAATTATTTTAGTTCTAAAAACTAAATATGGTAAGGGCGAACCAACCAGACATTGTCGTAGTGGATAAACAACAGAGGGAAGCCGTTGTGGTAGATGTAGCAATACCAAGCGACGGCAAGAAATAGGAGCACGAGAAACTGGAGAAATACCATATATTTCTCCAGTATATATATATATATATATATATATATATATATATATATATATATATATATATATATATATATATATATATATATATATATATATATATATATATATATATATTCAGAACATATATATCTATATATGTAAAAGATATATATATATCTTTACATTATTATTATTGTTGTTGTTGCTATTGTTTTTTATTATTATTAAAGGTAAACTGAGGAACTAAGCCAATGAAACATAGCGTCCATGACATTCTTTTTAATTATTCATTAATTAAATAATTAATTTATTACTTAATTAATTTTGTGTATTTAGTTACTTATTAATTCATTAGTTTAGTATTTACTTATTGACACATTTATTAATTAATTCATTTTCAAATTTCAAATCGCGAGCAACGCCAGTCACAACATGGCGGCCACGCTGGCGGCTGACAGGATTAGCTCGTGCGGCTTCTACTCTACAAGGTCTACAATCTGCGCACGTCCATCACTGGAAGCCTCGCCGCTGATTGGCTGATTTAACCATTCAAAACAGACAATCCCCAGGCTCCCCCGCTTTCACAACGCTTCACTCTCCCACGCAGAAACAGAAACCGAAGCATCACACGCCGGTGTAAATAACTCCCGTAAATCCCACGGCAAAATGAAAGCGAGATGCAAAACAGAAAAACACATTCCAGAGGCTTGTTTTGGTACATCTGTGAGTCACCTGCTAATCTCGCAGATCAGTTGTTAAAAACACATTCCTGATTATTGACTGTCATTTTGAAGTGTGCTGGGATTATTTGGATTAATGAGGATTTGAAATGTGCAACAGAAATGATGCATATTGATTGTACTCATTCATTTGTAAAGGCCGTGAGAATGTAAACAACCCTGACGTCCCAGTTGTTATATAAGGACTGTTGTGGCCTATTTTTAAACCTGTGGGTATCCCTAACCAACCGGAACATTGTGTTTCTTATTTCAGTCCTTCAACAGTCCCACTCTAATCTGATCATTTGGTTGAGACACTGGTTCAGTTTATTTTACAATTTTATTCTCCTTTGCTTATGCTTATACTTTGCTGTTTCTGTACAAAATGAACCCTCTGAATGAAAAACAGCCATCTCACTCACTCTTGAGCAACTGCGTCAGAGGGTTCAGTCATAATCTGAAGCAATGCTGCCATCAGATGGTTGCTACTTCATCCCACATGTGTGCAGGCAAATTGCCTAATCTGAGCTTCAAGAAGGGTGTTGTTTTTGTTTACTGTGTGGATCACAAAGGCAATCAGAGAAGCTGTGAAATGAGACATCTGCTCATCAGATCATCCTGGTAATTATGTCAGTAATTCCATCCATGATCTCCAGGATGATGAATCTGTATCCATGTAGGGATTGTTTTTATTTTTGTAGTAATCCCCAACAAGCAGATTGCACCTCAAACTCCAAGGTGTCAGAGTGAAGAGGGTCTTAGCTTCCTAAAAAGCAACAACCACAAATATTCATCAGATTAAGGCTAATCCTGATTTGTCTCAATCACTATTGTTCTCAAAGTTGCAATCCTGTTCCTTGTTTTTTTGGTTTTTGTTTTGCACAGGAGTTCATTGAGAAGGGCTTAACTTCTGCAGCAGCATGTGTTTTTGTGAAAACAAAACTCAGGTTTTGAGAGGCAGTTGACTAACTGAAGGCCTCCAGGACTCTGAGACCAGCACTTCCTAATCTGACAGGCAAAATGTTCACTAAGATCCTAAACGTTTTAGCTTTATTAAAGAATAATAATAATAAAATAAAATAAACTCGCGTTAAAATGAATACGCTCAGTAATGATTGTTTAAACAATATATGTATTTATATATATATATATATAATTATTTACATAGTTATATAAGTATTTATATAATTATCAGCAGGTGTTCAGTGCGTTTCGGTTCCATCAACAAATAAAAAGGGACTCAAAGACCAACCGGAGTTTAAATGAGCTGATCAGCCACCGCTGTGTTCATGAGAGGCTTATTAATAATTGATAACTAAATATCAAGCCTGGAAACCTGATATTTTAATGGATTGAATGTTATGTTTTTAATGTAATCTCTGCTCGGCTTGCAGGGCATGTGCAGTTGCTAGGGCAGCAGGTGTGCTAAACGTCAAGGAGAGTTGGAGAGTAAAAAAGTGCGAGTGGTTATTTACCTCGTTCATTTGTGAGAATAAGTCATTCACAACAAACATCAAATAGGACAAATATATTTAACTGAAGTATATTGTATAGAAAATGAGTCAATAGGTTTTCATTGTTATGTCTCCGTGTTATGAGGTAGATCTTAGCCACCTGGTGAGAGAAAAAGTAGATCTTGGTCTCAAAAAGTTTGAGCTCCAGCCCAATTTGAGTCAAACTTCTGCTTGTGGCAATACTGACATCTAGGGGCAAAAAGACAGAAAAACCTTTTATTTAAAAAAATCTACTCAAAAATAAGAGCGATATTGTATTCTGTATCTTATGACTTATTGTGATAACGATAACTGTAAATGTGGGAATGAAAGCATGTTTTCAACAGATTATTTGAGGTATTTTTAGAAAATATTTTGTCTTAACTGAACCACAAATACCGCTCTTAAAAAATACCAATTTTAAACAGGCTTAATCAGAACACCAGCTGATTAAGCCTGTGTTCTTAACCGGTTTAAGAACATCGTGAGTGAGCAGTAAAAGTGAACACTGCTCACTTTTACTAATATTTTACATTCTATTGATATGTATTGATGTTCTCGTGGAACCATCCATCCGTCCGTCCATTGTCTGCCGCTAATCCAGGGTCGGGTCTCGGGGGAAGCAGCTTCAGAAAGGAGGCCCAGTCTTTCCTGTCCCCAGCCACTTCCTGCAGCTCCTTTGGGGGAACCCAAAGTCGTTCCCAGGCCAGCAGAGATACATGGTCCCACCAGCGTGTCCTGGGTCTTCCTTGGGCTTCCCAGATGCCCGAGCCTCAACTGGCTGTGGAGGAGCAGCAACTCTTGTCTGGGTCCATCCTGGATGACTGAGCTTCTCACCCTGTCTCTAAGGAAGACCCCAGACACCCTGCTGAGGAAACCCATTTCGGCTGCTTGTATCCAGGATCTCGTTCTTCCGGTCATGACCCAAAGCTCATGGCCATAAATGAGGGCGGGAACGTGGATCGATCGGTAAATCGAGAGCTGGTCCAGTGTGCCACGACCAGGAAGAAAACCACATTGCTCTTCCACAATCCGAGGTTTCACTATCACAGAGTCGGGGATGTTTTTTCTCAAGATGTTGCTCCTTAATCTGTTTTTACTTGATATCGTGGATTTGGAGCACTTCTAAAAGTGCTCCAAATCCTATTGTAACAGCGGGACCCAATATCTCAGGGTTCCCTACCGATACATTCTGACAAAAACACGTCCAACTCTCTGAAGCATTGTTGGCGTGGTCTCCTCTGCCGTCTTCTCTGGGATTTTGTCCTTAGTCTCGGCTTTCTGGACATGAGTTGACTTTGATTTGATTCTGTCCAATTTAATTTTCAAAGTCACAATTTCTTTGTTCAGCTCGTTGCTCTCCTTTTCGAGCCACTGCCGATCTCTGGTCTTTTCCCTGTATGAACTCTCAGCCTTTCGTCTAATGGAAAAGTTGGTCCATTCCAGCCGTTGATTTTCTCTGGTCAAGTCATTCTATTGTCTTTTCAGAGATTCAATCTTTGCTCTCGCATCCTCCAACTCCTCATTCAGTGCCTGGATTCTACACTCTTGGTGTTCTTTCCTGTCCCTCAACATTTTATTTTCTGCCATCAACTCACCAATGTCACAATCACTTCTGCCAGTAAGCTGATGAATTTTGTACTTCAGGTTCTCCACTGTCGTTTTGAGCAGGATGTTTTCATCCTCCAGCTCCATGCACCGTTTCTCTAAAACACTCACCGTCGTAAAAAATAAATTGCTCTGAGCCATAATTTAAGTTTAATTTTACGTCTTCCCTTCTGTTTCAACAACGCACTACAATGTGTCACGTAAAATCTTATTCAGAGTTTCCGCCCAACAAATCCAGGTTTTTCACCTCTTTGAGAATTTTGTGTTCGAACAAAAGCTGAGATTAAATATCCTTCTCTTCATTCAGTAATATGCTCTGCAGACAGTCCTTCTTTTGTATCCTGGTTTCTTTTGTTGCCGTTGGGAACGTAGACCTATTTTGTAGCCAAAAGGGGAGTAGGGCAAAGGTTAACCTCCAACGGCATTTTTACATTTTCTGGGAGGATTGTGATGCAGATTTAGATACATCCTAAACCGAAGTTTTCTAGAAACTAAGAAAATATTTATAGATAATAAAGATAAACAGGATTTCTGATATATATTTGTTGAATTTTACTCACTACAAGCTTATCAAACTAAAGAAATGAAGATGAACGTTTGAGATTGTTGTTTCTTAACTCAAGAACATTTTTTCTTGCATCTGTAAAGATGTTTCATAGAATATTTGTATCATAAAAGCTACTTTTATTTTTAAAAATGCCATCTGGACCGTGGCATCATCAAAAAATCAACAAATATTTCAATATAAATGAAAAATATGCTAAACAAAACTCAATTCAAGAAGAAGGGTGGAGGAAATCAAGTCGAACAGAACCAAACCAGTCGTCTTTATGTGAGCTGATGCTGCAGGAGTGCCCCTGATTAAGATAACCAACCTTAATATGAGGCAAAAAATAACTGAAGAGTATATTTTTAAAAAACAGTTTCAAATGTTTTCATGGAGAAAACGTTGACCAGCAAAGTCACTCAGAGGATCAAAGATAAAAATAAATAAATATTTGTGAACGTGTGCATACAGCATTTAGAAAAACAACATCATAAATTAAACAAGGAAGGAAACATGATTTGAAAGATATTATTTATCGCATAGTGGAGAAAGTATGCTTCCATTCGTAACCATTGAAACCAGGCCCAACCGTCATGTAGCCTAGCATAAATAGAAATAATTGGTTCGCGTCTCGTCTTCTGTACGTTTTTAAGGCTGCTCTTGTGTAAGGGGAATAGTGTTTATGACACAGTGACATAAATCATGTGGTGTGAATTCAGGAAAAGTCTGTAATTTGGCAAACATGTGAGGTGTTTGTTGTGAGATTAGTTTCTATTGTAACGGTAACGGTAGTATGGTTTCCTGCCCACTGGGGGCGCACTCGGGAACTATACAGGGAAACGAGTTCGAATAAGAAGTAGTTCATGTTGTTAGCTGACGCTCCGGCTAATTAAAAGAAGACCGGCTTTTCAACTGACGACTGTTCCTAAGCTAGCTGTGTCCAACTTTTGTAAATACCGCCGTCTATGAGACCCAACCAGGTGTGTGACGTTCAAAGAAAAATTAGCTTAACTCCAACAAGCAAAAGTCATGAATAAAGTGACAAAAACAACTTTGGAAATCAATTTTAGTCGCTCAGTTTAATCCTCGCGTCCCTCACTTCTGACGTCCATCATGGCGCCTGGAATGATTCAGTGACGTCGTTGAAAAGGGTGAATATTACAATTTTTATACAGCTTTTCTTGCAAAGGTGAAGAAGTACATCTAACTAAAACGGCCTTCCAACGCACCGAACACCTGCAATGCATTAAAGGTCAACCTTAGGAGAACAGCTGAAATTACCCACAGCAAATCTGCAGACGGACCATGAGCTCATTTCACCCCCTCTCATATGTATACGAAATGTCTGAGCAAAACGAGGAGTTATACGACATATCTTGTCCATCTTGGATCTTGTCCACCATATGTCCCATCACACCCGTGGGGAGTTGTGGGATAAGAGCTGTGCTCAGAAACTGTGCTTTAGGAGCATTCCTTACTTGTTACATTATCTGGATCAGGTTAAAGACTAATAAAGTTAGGGCAAGACTGAAGACTTTATTGCTGCATGGCTATTTTCCTTTGCAGGAATCACAAAAAGTCTATAGATGTGTAGGATCAAACAGTTCTTTAGGAAAGATAGGAGAATAAATTGTCTGCATGAGTTGGTAGAAAAGTGTGATCCTTTAAGAGTTTTTATAAACAAACATTTTTTAACAAAATTTTAATTTTAACTGAAGAGACTAAAAGAATGACTATCCTTGAAATTCATGAACTGCACACACCCAACCAAATTATTAAAGCGGAAAACGGAATACAAATAAGAAGCCACTTCCGGTTTGTATTTTTCAAAACATACGTGGTGATAAAGTGTAATTATCTTTTATCGTCCAAGATCTTGAAAATTTTGTCGAAATCCTTCATGTAGCTTAATGATGTCTCTAATTAAAAATTTTGTTGAACAATTTTTTATTTACAGTTTATTCACGTTTTTATTATTTTTCTGTCACTTCCGGTCTTCTCCGAAGTGGATGCTAGCAACGGCTAGCTGACGTTCCTCTACTTCGGAGCAGGAAAAGACACCCGACACACAGCAGAGCCGAACCACCATCGGCGGAAACATGGTGTCCACGGCGGCGCTTCTTCTCGTCTCTTTGGCCTCTGCATGTGAACAAGTTTTTGCTGGAAGACAGCTAATTTATGCTACAGTGGTGAGTGTCAATAATGTTTGCTGTGACGCTACTGAAGCTGTCCGTTCCTGCACCTTTATGGCTGAACTCTACAGAATTGCCTTCAAAATGTGTTAAATATTGTTTTCATTTGCGCTTGTGTCAACATGCTTGGTTAATCATGCAACTTTTTGAGTGTTGTGAGATTTTTGATTCACTTGAATAAATTCGGCTCGAAAATAAACCATTTTGGATTACGTTCATTTTAATAATGTCACATATTTTGGTTTATAGGGCTACCTAACAGTAAGCTTCTCTAAAGCTGCACTACATATTAAAACAGTATATGTTTTATTAATTTTTAAGTAATGTTAATGTTTAGTTCAGACTAACATATTTGGAACAAAGTGTTAGATGACATGTTTGAAGAAACATAAAGTAATATGAACAGTCTATTACATCGTGCTCAGCCAGCACAATGTAATCAGGAAGACAGAAGTTATTGAACTGTTATTAGCTGGCATTATCATGTTTTTCTTCCTTGTGTTAAATGTGAAGTCACTTCCTGTTTTTTAATAGTATGCCAACCTCCACTTCTGTTTTTAACAGCATTTTCACACACACACAAAAAGAAAAACAGTGCAGCGTGCAAGATAACTGAATACAATTGTTATTCAAATCAATTTTTATCTACTTTGCCTTATTTTCCTAAGAGAACAGACAGACTTTCTGACTGAAATTCATTTGAGATTAGTCATGTCTTACTGTGCAAAGTTGGATCTGTATTGAGGATGACATAGTTGATTAATACAAAATAAGAACAGAGGCATTTTTTCCCATTTATATCTTTTACAGTTGTTGCTAATTTTGCTTATCAGGGTCAAAAGGCCATACGCATTCGTAGAAACCGTCACCTAGTTTCTGAGGTTTCCAGTGAAACCTGAAGCAAACTAGATTAAGACTGTTGAAGCGGATAATCCAGCCTACAAATAGAGTTTGCACACCTGGTTTGTCTTTTTTTGGTTGTTATGGATGCATCTGGTTGGGGTGTTATCTCATGTGGGACGAACCGGCAAGCCGCACTTCCCTGTGGCGGCTTGAGAACTGAGTAGTGAAACTATGAAAGTTTGAAGTGTCAGCTCTGTTGTGGTAAGTCAAAGAAAATACTTTGACCTGATTTACTGGACTATTGAGCTTGCAAGGAGAGTGAGATATGATTACAAAACCCTTGGTTTTAAAGAATCTGCTTGTAAAGCTTTTGGACCCTGCGGTGGGACGTGCACCGCAGGTCCCACGGGAGCTCCAAGTGCTCCCCCCTGTGCGGCAAGCTGTTCAGGAGCACGACCTCGCTGAAGGAGCACATGGCAGGCCACGCAGGGCTCAAGCTGCACCGCTGCCACATTTGAATGAAATAAACTTTTGGAAGATACTTGGGAATTCCTGCAGTCAGCTGACTTTACTAAAACCATTACTGACACAGATAAAAGTGGAACAAAGGTGTCAGCTGATAATTTTGATGATCCTGCATTTTCAGTTTCTTCTCCTCCTTCCTCCAGTTGTTTCGACATGGTGACAGGTCACCAGTGAGAGCCTTTCCTACTGACCCTCACCAAGAAAGCGCCTGGCCTCAGGGCTTTGGACAGCTATCGCAGGTAAAATAGCTTTGAGTTTTGCTCTTGACAACCAGAGGTGGGTAAAGTACCCAAACCTGTATTCAAGTAAGAGTAGCACTACTTCAACATATTTTTACTAAAGTAGAAGTAAAAACTAGCTAATATTTGGTAAAAAGATCAAAACATCTATCACTTAATATTTCAAAATGACATCATCAGATGGATCAAAATTAAGATAATTCAAATAAATAACAAAAAAATCTGAATCAAATACTTTCATGCAGGTTAAAACAAGCTCGTTCCTCATTCAGACAAGTTACTCACAGTGGGTAGAGAATTAAGTTTAGTACATAGTAAAATTACTGAAGTAAAAGTTGAAATACTTCATTCAAAAAATTACTCAAATAAAAGTAAAAAGTACAGCACAGTTGAAAATACTCCAAAAGTAATTTTTTTCAAAAGATTACTCAAGTAAACATGAGTAAATGTAACTAGTTACTGACTCGAGTACATTAGTACCAGAGTCTGATGTTTCTATTTGTGTTTAAAGGTCGGGATGAGGCAGCAGTATGAGCTGGGTCAGTATCTGCGGACGCGGTACAAAGACTTCCTCAATGAATCCTACATCCGTCACGAGGTGAGACATGGAAACACCACCTTTATTCTCGATCACGTGAGAATTAGCAAACACCTAAACACGTTTTCTCTTTTTCCACCAGATTTTAGTTCGCAGTACAGACGTTGATCGGACCCTGATGAGTGCTGAAGCCAACCTGGCAGGTCTGAACAACTGGATTCTGTCTTTCTTTTCTCATGAAGTGACTCTTAACCTTCAGTGTGTCGTTTTGTTGTGCAGGCCTCTACCCCCCTAAAGGTCAGCAGATATTTCAACCCAGTGTAAAGTGGCAGCCCATACCGGTACACACAGTACCGCAAAACGAAGAAAAGGTTGGTGTTTTGGGTTTATCCGATTCTCTGGCTGAAACTGCAGATTCCTGATTTTGTGTAATTATTTTTCTTTTCAGCTGCTCTCATTTCCTTTGAACGACTGTCCTCGCTACGAACAGCTGATGAATGAGACTGAAAACACAGCAGAATTTATCAATGTCACAACAAAATACCGGGTACATAATTTCTCCTCTTTCTTAAATATTTCTTTTAAGAGAATCTGTTTCACTATTAAAAACAATGTATTAATTTCCAAGGAAAGTTAATTCTTTCTCCCTTATTCTTTAGGACTTTATAGAGATGGTAAAAAATAAAACAGGACTGAAGAAAGCAAATGTGGAATCAGTGTGGAGTGTGTATGACACACTATTCTGCGAGGTAAAAATCCCAACACACACATAAAAGTAAAACCAACATTTAAAATCAAGCAATTTTCAGCTTTTTTATTTTTTACAGAATCAGATAATACAGAAGGAGAGTGACTTTTATTTATAAATATATCATGTAAAACAGCATATTAGGGTAAAATATGCCTTTAGTTGTTAAATGTGGGAATGAATACATCATGGTATGAAAAATTGTTAAAAATAAGCAAATTATTCACCTTAAATGCCCTTTATTTAGAATTTGGGTCATTTTTTAGGTGTTCACCTTTAGAAATAATTCCAAACAAAGTCGCTCAAACCTGCTTGACGTCTTCAGGGTGTCTCTGTTTGATATTTATTAGTCACTGTGTATGTTTGTTTTTCGTCCTCAGTCTCGACATAACATGTCCGCTCCAGAATGGGTGACTCCCAACGTCATGGAGAAGCTCAGGTTTCTGAAAGACTTTGGATTTCAGGTAGAAGTCGCAGCAACATCTCAGCTTTTCTTTGAGATTTCTGATATTTAAGAGGGTTAACACGGTTATAAATGCTGAATGTTTGCAGCTCCTGTTCGGGGTTTACAAACAGCAAGAGAAGAGTCGCCTGCAAGGAGGCACGTACACATAAGGATTATTTATCAGTGGTTTTTCCGATTTGTGGAGGATTTTTCCACAAACATATAAAAACATGTTTCCACTCGATGGAAAAATGAGAGCTGCTGTCTCTCTTCCAGGTCTCCTGCTGGGGGAAATTGTGAAGAATCTCACCAAGATGGCCGCCCCACACCCACAACGTCAATTAAAACTGATGATGCTCTCAGCGGTGAGATACTGATAATTCACACCGATTTAGGTTTTTAACTGAAGTTAAAGCATTCAGCTTCTTTGCACTGAATCTGGAACAAGCTTCCATAAAACTGCAAAACAGTCGAAACACTGATTTCTGAAAAGACCCACCTGTTTGGAGTGGCTTTAAACCAATAATCACAGCAACATTTATCAACGTAGTTGATGTTTTAGTTAATGGCACTTCACAAAATGTATTGTAAGTTACTGGATTCCCACTTATGATGTTTTTATGATGAACTGCCTGAAATGAAATACAAATAAGCTTGACTGATTGAAGTTGTTTTTTCTGGTTGCTGCACAGCACGACACAACCATAGTTGCTCTTCAGACCAGCTTGAATGTGTTCAACGGAAAGCAGGCGCCTTACGCCTCCTGCCACATAATTGAACTGTACAGGGAAGACAATGGGTCGGTATTTTATTTTTGACATCATATGTCACTAAATAAGAGATTATTTGCACTAATTTCCTGCGTGTGTTTAGATCTGCGTCCGTGTCGATGTTTTATCGCAACGACACCAGCGTGCCGCCGTACCCAGTCCAGTTGCCAGGTTGCGCTCATGTCTGCCCCCTAGAGGACTTCGCGAGGATAACAAAGCCGTTCATCTCAGACGACAGAGACAAGGAGTGTCAGCTGCCATCAAAGGGGAGAGACAGACGTGAGATTCCCACACGCCGCTGCCGTCAACACTGACAATCAGCTTCTGGGTGACCCTCACTTCTTTTCTTTTTTTTCTTGTTTCCGTTTTAAAGAAGTGATCATCAGCCTGGCCTTGTCCGGATGCCTGCTCCTCGCTCTCATCGCCGTCCTCCTCGGAGTCATTTGCCGACACAAAGAGACCAATAGCAACAGGGGATACCATCATGTGATCAACCAGGAAGCCAGAGAGGAATCCTGACAGAGGCGCAAGCTACTGCTTCGGGGATCGATGAGCTTCGCCTCTTGGGACAGCAGCAGCGATGAAGAAGAAGAAGAAGTACTTTAAGTGACAGTAATCTTGGAATTATCAATGCATTTCACTGTGCCTTGCATCAAATTTGGACACTGAAAAAATAGTTTTTATTGCAAATATCTTAGTACTTTTGAAATAAGACAAAAACTAACTTATAGATAACCTTTCAGCAAAATATAAGTTTGTTTCAACTGAATAATTCATTGATATTGATTAAAAAGTTCTGGTTGCACTGGCAGATTATTTTACTTACAGCAAAGGAAAATATCTTGTTATAAGTGAAATTATCTGCCAATGGAAATAGAACTTTTTGTCAGTATTAAGGGATTACTAACTATAGCTATATCTTGCTGAAAGATTATAAGTTAGTGTCTTATTTCATGTGTATTAAAATATTTGCACTAAAAACTAGTATAAAAAATACTTGGTCAGATCCAGTTTTTTACTGTGAAATACTGTGAAAATGTTTCATTGTTTGGTTGGTGATTCCAAGGTCTGATGACCAAGATGCCTTAAATATTTTTTACTTGTATCCTATGGTACCGTTTTTCATCGCGTCGTCACTTTCAACACTGAGTATTTCAGCCAAGAGTTTGTGAAGCAATCTGTTTGATTTACAGCCTCATCACACACTGGGAAAATAAAATTTAGTGCTTAAAAAGGCTGAATGACAAGAACAGAGAATAAAATGGTTCTTTTCAACTACATGTCATAACATTCAGCATTAATTACCTTTTTGATCGCACACGGAATCACCAGGGTCCTTTAAGATTATCAGCATTTGTTTACGTTAAACTTCCTGTGTCAAATTATCTGTCCTACAGTGTTTGTTTTTATTACAGTTTGATGTTTAAGGAATGTTTATTTTCTAACCAAAAATAAATTACTACTTTCAGGTGACGCTTATAATCCAAATGATGGAAAAGAGTAAATTTTCACCATTTAATGTCCTGCAAGTAGAAGTACAGATACATGTATGAAAGGATATTCTAGTAATTTACAGGTTGAACTGTTTTTTAAAGAATGTACATGAGTACAAAAAGTTATTTTCACCTTTTTGTCATCTTTCTCATCATGGACTTTGACTGGGCCAATCCTTTCATTGCTATGGTACTTTCTGTCTTTTCACCAAATAATTTTAGCTCTTAGCAAATTCTTAACAACTTCACATTTCTAGCAACATCAGAAGTGCTTTCCAGTGAATAAAGCTTCATTCAGGTAGGACGGCAACCCTGGAAGAGTATGTCTGGTCATGCTCTTCCAGACTCGTGTCCAGTTCCAGATACGATGATCCTCTTAATCTTATTAGTCCATAAAATCTGCCACATGACAGACTGTGCATACTGGTGGGAAGAGGTCGGCAACAGTCAAACTACAGCGGAAACAATAAGGACATTGTGCAACGGTTTGATTTGCAGTTGTATGTTTGACATTTTATATTTACTACTATTGTCTAAACAGTGCAGTAGACCTTTATTAAAACATGGTAGTGCTTGTCTTGCATACATCATTAGTGATTTGGTTACATTCAGTATGGCCACGGATATAACCATCAATACCATAAAACAACTGATAGGGAAATTATCACTGCATTTTCTGTGTGGCAGACAGATTAAAAACACTTTCACACAAATACCAGATTTGCTAGAGAAACGGTGGCAAATTATGCGCACAGACGCAGAAACATGCATTTCGCTCCGCTGTTAAAAAGCTGGACCCAAACGATGAGAACTTCAGCTCCTTCACTGGACTTTAAAGTCCGATATAACTTGGTGATAAAAGCAATGGAACCTCAAAACGCAAACAGCAGCATAAGAAACACTTTCAGTCCAGGCTTTAGGTTTGCTTGACATCAGCGAGTATTTCTTAGTAATTAACCACAGATGCAGTGATTTTGGTTCAAGAAGTGGGTTGTAAACAACACCACAAAAAAAAAATTAAAATTTAAAAACAGGCTGTCATAAGATCCAGAAAACTTGTGATGTGAAAACAAAAACAGGAAGGATGTGGGAAACACATAAAGCTACAAAATATGTTAGAAAAAATAAAAACAATGTATAAAAGCTGACTAAACATCAAAGACAAATATTGAAAACACGCACACACCACCTACAATAAAAATATCACAACACGCATATAAAACTGATTGGCATGGAAGCAGACAACAGCATACATCCTTTGACTAATTCTTGTGCAAAAATATTTTCTTTAAGGAATGCAACTATCTGATATGACAAAATGTGATGGCACATTGACATTTTCTTCCTTGTAGGATAAATAGAAGAGAGTACATACAATTACAGAAGAAAATATAAGATATGAGAAGAAAAACCTACATTCCAGGCTCAAAAACCTTTTTCTCTGAAGGTGATCTTCCACTAAGTGCAAATTTCTGCCTCACAGCTCACAAAAACTGATCATATTAAATATCCTTTTGGTCGCAAACAAGCTTTACAGATCCCTCCTTTCTTGTACTTTGTACGCTTTCTTCGCCACCTTGAAGGGATTCACATTCACCCCCAGTCTCATGTTTTTCCTGTATACTAAGGAATCCATGTTGTAATCAAGAAAACTGAAAATGACTTTTTGTCAGTCAACAGAGGAAACCAGGCAATGAGAGCAAACACCTAATCAGCTAGATAGACATAAATCTTACAGACATTTATGGAGTCTAAGGATACACACTGATAATTATGAGAGCTTATATAAGTCACATGGAACCATTACCCATGTAGGGGCAATTGAGCATCTGATGCGCTAACTAGCATTATTTTTATTTATTCTTTTGCAATTTTCAATTTATGTTGCAACAAAATTATATTCCAGTTTTATAAACATTAATAAACTGAATTAAGTTGTAACATTTCCAATCATTTTAAATTCAGATTATTTTTTATCTTGTGCTAACTGCTAGCAGTGCTAATATCCCAGATTTAACCAAATAGTCATGCTAGCATTGGCTAATTTCTTATGAGACTTTTTCACACTGTTTTCCTTGTATTGCAAAATTATTCAGATCAAGTTGATAATAGCAATTAATTTAATACAACAAAATTTTACATATTTGTCTTAATTTTAAGTTTTTAACTTTTTTTTCTTTTAGCAACAGCATATTAGCACTTGTTTTGCCCCGGAACTTAAGTTCCATTTTTGATAAAAATAACACACTGACCTAAGTGACACAAAGTTTTTATTTTTTAGTTTAGACTTTATGCTAGCAATGCTAACTCTCCATGCTTCAGCAAATTAGCATTAGCTATTTCCTAACAGTATTTTTTTTATTTTTCTCTTTGTGTTTCAACAGAACTCAACCACAATTTAATAAAAGTGATAAATTGACTTAAACAATAAAAGGTTTTAATTTCTTTAATTGATTTTGAAGTTGTTGGGGTTTTTTTTTTGGCTTATTGCTACCACGACTAACAGTTCCAACTTCAGCAGGCACTGGCGAATTAGCATGAACTAATTCCTGTCATACGAGTCCGAACACTCAGCGTTTTAGACTTTGTAAAATGTCTGTAAAAGAGCCAATACCTCAAACAAGACTGGCAAATTTTGTTTAACAGTGTTGCTACGGCCCGAACTGTTGACTGACAGCTTTAGGACGAGCAAATTAGCGGCTGCCAATGTTTCCTTACCATTGAAATTTAAAAGTGGAATGATTATCTGGCCACAAATATTTCCAGTCTCTATTTTACTCTAACCAAAGCATTCAAAAGAAATGTTTTCAGTTTTCCACCTATTGGTGGTGGTTAAATGCTACTCTTCTGTGCTGAAGTCCTCAAAAAAGCTGGTATTCTTGTAGTTCCAACTTTCTTGCTTTATTGTATCGCCACATTTTCACACAGTTGTTGAAGCCATTTGTGTGGTCAGCACTTTTAATTGAAAAGTGCTGGGGTTGATGCAGCTGTACAAGCAAAATTGGGACAAAAAGATTAAATCATTTGTAATCTTCTCATCCAGTCTTCAATGGTTCCTACTTAATTTTGTGGGGTGCAGAAATACGTCTGCGATCCGCAGTAATAATTCTGCGGCGTGGAATAATAGTTACTATGTTGATGATGTTGGTAGTTGTTCTGTGGGGTTGAGTAGTAGTTGTGATGGTGATGATGGTGACTCTGGATGTTTCCTTGGGCAAACAGGAGTGGGGCCGTGGAAGGAGGTAGCTGCTGGGCGGAGGCCACCCCCGGTGCTAGACTCCCATTGCGTTGAATAGAGCCATACCAGCTGGACGTTGCCATCTGAGGCGTAGTGGACAGAAGACTGAGAATGGAAGGGACAAGAAGGTAAGTTTACTAACAAACATTTTTTAAAAATGGTTTAGTGACAGAAAAAGCCCAATCTTTTTCCACCCGTCTTTGATGTTGATTATTTGGACATTGTGCTGGTGCTCACCTGGCTCGATCAGATCTGCTATTGATGCTCCTTGACAGGTCGTCATCGCTGTCGTACCGTCGCGGGTTATCAAAGAAATAAGCTCTAGAGCTAAAACTGTGGCTGTTGATCATGCCGCCTGGCGCCTGAAAGAAACAGAGTCCAGGTTTTTATTCTAGAAGAAGAAGAAGAAAAAATCTGCAGCATAATTTGACTTCTAGATGATTAGTTTACCAGGTTTTGGTGAGGCCTTTGGACTCTGAAGAAAACCACCACTAAGCTGGTGGGCAGCAGCTCCCAGAAGAACAAAATAATCCCAAAAACAATGTATCCCTCACCGCTGATCTTCTGTATGTCTGCCTTTAAAGCACAAGCATTTTGCAATATGAATTATGAAACCTGATGTCACCAAGCAAACAGAGAGAATGAATCCACCAAAGCATTTATCTTCCTCAAGTTGTCATGTTAAAAGCACAAAGTTTCCCCCAGAAAACTTGCTGAGCCCGTTGATTGGGTGTTAGTTCAGTCATTCATCCAGCAGCCAGTCATGTTTTTGAGTTGGAAAATGTTTAAAGTTGACAGGAAATTTCAAAATATCACTTCATAATTGTATTATTGAAAGATTGGAAGAGTAATACGTGAACACCAACTATAAAGTCTTAAAAAATGTAAACATTTTAAAAAATACTTAAGTAAATAAGCAATGCTTAGCCTGGTGGGGGACAAGTAAAGCCTGGTGGCCCACCATGCTTTGAATACAGGAGGGGAAACCCTGCTCCGATGCATTTATTTGGGATTCAGACCAATACAAAGTAGTTCATAATTTTGAAATAATCTGAAAAGTGTAGCATGCATAAAACAGAGGATCTTTGATATGAAAAAATTTACAAAACTGAAACATCATGACATCCAATCCACGCTTGTCTTTATTTCCTGAAGTTCTTGTGTAATTGCAGGTGTCTCCCCCTGCTGGTCAATAAATCTCTTCATTTTTTCTGCTTCTTTTGGATCAATATTTAAATCTTTTTCATATAGAGTCTGAAATTCAGAACATAAGCATGATTAGAGGCTATTCATAACTGTTGTTTGTTGAGAAACATTACATTTGCAGAGCATCATTATTATATAAATTTAGTAACTAAAGTCAGATTATACCCAAATTGATTTATTGAGTCTATTTTGTCTGACAAACACAAGGAACTCCTTTAAAATGTGTTGTCTGTCTCAAGGCCTGCACCCTCTGATGTAGGTCAGGATACACAGACATGGTTATTTATAGCCAGACAAAACCCTTTACCCTGCTAAGCACCGCTCTACTAATTCTCTAAAGATGCGTTACATGCGCCCTCAAACACCCCAGATGCATAAAATATTCACTATTTCGTCTTCGTCACAAACATCAATGTTTTCCAGCTGAAAAGTATGCACGTCCCTGTCCAATAAATTAAATTTTATGGCTCTCATGTGACCCAGATTAGCGCTGCGTTTAGCAAGGCGCTGTAAAAACTAGTTGTATAGGTAGAAGTACCTGATCGGAGACGCTGTACCAGCCATAGCTGAAGGGGCTGGGTCTGTCCTGCGGCGACAGGGCCACCACCACTAGGTTGTAACAGGCTCTGGAAGTATAGAGGAGAATCACCACGGCTCCTACGGCGGTCGCTTGGCACACTGATGTTCCCTGGAGGGAAGAGTCATTGTGTCATAACAAGCTCTAGCGCTATACCACCAAATATAGGTCAACAAGCATTACAAAAACGATTAATTATAAGCCTGAAGCATGAATTTAAGCATATTATTATGTGGCTTACGCAAGTTACATTAGCTTATAAATCTCAATTTTGGTTTAATATAATGCACAATATTTCTAACAATGGTGTAATACTCTCTCCTTAATTTATTTCTATGTTAAACAGCAAGATGCTCTAGCTAGCAGAAATAATAAGCATTGAATTAGCATCATCAGTCTGTTAGCTTTGCTAACAAGCTGCTTCCTGTATGTTTGACAAAAATGAATTTTCACAAGAACTGTAGCTTCGGATACAAATTAAATGTTTTCAGCTAAAAGAGTTTCAAGCAAGACTCAAAATGTGAAAATGTGATTAGGAAATGTGGCATTTTTCATTTGTCTTGGAGGTTGAAATCAGAGCTTAAAAAGACACCCCTGTAATCGAGACACAAGTCAGAAAACCCATGGGATTTGGTAGTCTCTGTGCAAGCTGACGTTGTTAGCTTCAATGTTAGTTATTTGAGGTTTATTACTATAATAATCAATGCCATACAAATGTTTATTTTAGATTTGGAAGATGGTAAACATTTGGCTTTCCTGTTAATTTTTCCAATTTTGAAAAACATGGCAGCCATGTTGGATTTTGAGGTTGGATTGTTCAGAAATCCCCACATCTCCACATTGCAATTCTGACTTCAGGTTAATTTTTCCAAAAACAAATTACACAAACAACAGAAATGTTTAATAATAATTTGACTTTATCTCTGAAAAAGAACCTCAAAAAGCAAAAACTAGTGAACGATGCCTTTCTTTCTACCTTTGACTCGAGGTAAACGTTGGCAGAAGACATTTTGGCGATTTTGAAGATGCACACAGCAAGAGATATGGCACACAGGACAAACAGGCTGTCGTTAATCAGGACCCGAGCCAAGACTGCATGTCTGATCCCTCCATCGCTGCACAAAGAGCAACACATGGAAGTGTAGAGAGAGAAAAATTGACTCAACATACAAGCGAAATAATTTACTGTGGAAGCGAGATATAAAATGACTGAACGACTGCTTACCTTGGCGGGTCAGAGTGCACCAGAGCTCCTTGAGCTAACAACGCGCAAGTCAAATTCACCACCAGAAAAAATATACTGAGACAGAGAAAGAACAGGCGCAGAGGAACTCTATGGAGAGAAGAGTCGCACAGTGATAATAATAAGAAAGGATAATGATTGTTATCAGCTATCAAAATTACCCAACAAGGCTCTGATTTTCATTCCTAGCCAATCAAAGACTTACTTGTATTTGGTGAGCTCAGGCGAATACTTGGCTTTAGCTTTAAACATCACCTGGCGAAAGAAAAACATGAGAGATTGCTTTAAAGATATGCAGAACTTAACCGTTTCACAGAAATCCCACCTACGTTGGAGCGCAGAAAGCCGGAGCGGGCCAGTTTTAGAACCAGAGTGTGAACTAACAAAGCTCAGGGAGATTCCTGGAGCTCAATGAAGTATTCAGACACAAGCTCATAGTGAAAGGCTGAATTAAGATGATTCCTCAGATCGTGCTGCTCTCCGGAGAATTAAAAATATGATCCATATCCCCCTGAATCCATCTGCTTTCAGTTTTATACGTTCTTGTTTTTCAACACTTTTCATCCCGGATGTATGACAGACAAATCTGAAGAAAATCTCCTGCAAACAGTGATTTGATGTCAAACAGTTTGATGGTCAAGTTGACTATCATCTGTATGAAAAACACATAATTACTAAAACTGTTCATTAGTTCAAATTCTGGGCCTTTAGTTACCGAATTTGCTTAAGTTTTTCAAGGACATACAAGATGTTTTATGTTGTATGTCCAATCTTTACGTACCATTTTCTCTTTTCAAAGTCTCAGAGCGTTTAATTAATAATAACAATATTTAAAACCAGCTTATACTGACCACAAAAGTCCTTAAATACGTAACAACATTGAGTTCAAACATCTTAAACCAACACCCACTCACATGAACTGCCTGTATGATCAAACTAGGCCACAACGGGGTAATTTATAACCAAGAGATGAAGCAAGCAAAGCAATTCAGTAGCGTTGTAGACTTTTTTTCTGCTCGGTTTATGAATGCACTTCAGATTACATATCCTCTTAGCACACAAGAAATGTTTGTGTCTTTTCCCAGCAAAGGCAACCAAGTGTGAACTTGACCGTCTGCTCCTTTATTAAGAGGCAGACTAAAACAAGTGACTCATCAGGAAAGCAATGTTGGATGTTAGGCAGCTGTGACACGATGTCCGTGAGCTTAGGGGTAAACTGCACGGGTCATTTCTCAACTTTGGTTAAATATATTTGCTCTGCAAAGTAAACAAAAGGCCTTTGGGTCTGATCAGCATGATATTTAAATGCAGTTAGTGTCTATGAGTCAAATATATATTATGATATAGGATTGCTTTCTTTGTTACAACTGTATGTTCTTCTAGAGTAAAATTAAGCTTTTCTGCCACATGAAAGACAAAACTGTTTAGAAATATTTTAGAAATATAGTCTTGTTTCAGATTTTTGTGTAAGAAGTTCTTATATTAGGTTAAGAATCTCATAGCAGCTAATACCAAAATTCATCAATGGTTAAATTACGGTCCAAAATACTTATCATACTTGCAAATAAATACATTGCATGTCCCTTAACTTCAATATAATTACAATTTCATCAAGATATTGCATGAGGAATCAACCAGGTCAGTGCTTTAATCGGGTTATGATTAAATGCAGAGAAGCTGTGAAGATGCAGGGAATCGTGTAAAACATGGAGGGCAGCGATGCCAAACCTGCGGCCTTTACATATGTTTCTGTGCCAATGCAGGGCGCTCAAATAATCTGTTTTCCCATTAGATTCTCAAGAAGCCAGTTAATTTTCTACCCATTTAAAGAAGTGTGTGGATGTAAGAAATCCTCTATAACCTCAAATGGTTTATGGGGATTGTATTTTAGCAAAATTATTAACTTTTCCAAATCTAAAATAACCAAGATTACCTGAAGAAATAGTGCTTGTATTGCATTGTTTGTGTCAAATTTGTGATTTTGTTCCTTTTGAAATGTTGCAAATTGGAGCAGGTTACGGCAAATCAGAGTATCATCTGCAAAAAAAAAATAAAATAAAGTTGCATAAAATGGGAATGTAGTTTCATGCTCGTTAGCTCTTTAGCCTCAATTCGCCTTTATGAAACAGATTTAATGACGCCCACATAAATACATCTTAACGCTCAAACTTCCTCACAGAACAAGCGAGAAACAATTTCATTTTTATTTCTGGATGATATGGTGACACAATTTATACAGATAATTACAGCTAATGTGTGACTGTGAGCGTTTTGAGTGAGAGCAGCATAATATCTGCACTATTAACCCATAATATGTCAACTATTATCAGTTTTTGTGTGAAGAAAACACTTTATTACAGTAACAACAAGGAAAATATTTGGATTTTTTGTGCGTTAATAGTTAAAATGAATCTAAATTGACATTAGCTGGTCAAAGCTTTACACAACCTCTGCTTTAGTATGAGCAGCTGCTGTTATAAAAACTATAACAGCTTCCAGTTTGAGCTGTGGAACAAAATGTGAATCTGATATATTACTCAGACCTGAAGCAGCCAGACGTATAAAACCACAATCAGGAACGATTTCATCTCTGAGCTGGCCAGTCACATGCTCTCATGACTGAGATAAACATTTTCCTACAGATATAAAGACAGGAATGAAGAGGCATGGTGATAATTAACAATAAAGCTGGCAAATTACTCAGTCACATGTAGAAGAAATTTGAATTCTCTCTTAAATCTACCTACTTGAAGGTTAGGATGAATGAAAAGTTGGCCAGAGGTCAGCGGATGGGTGACAATGTTTATTCAGCAGTCATATGACACCATGAGTTGCATTAGCAAATCACGACTCATCCAGCCAGACGAGCTTCCTTCCTTTTGTACAGTGCCTGTAAAAGTGGACCAGGCTTTTGCAAAACCAGGTTTTTGATATTTGGAGTGCCCAGCACAGATGTTGAACAGCTGCAACCAAACAACTGGGTTCCTTCCCCCTGGTTTTCTACATAATTAGTGACTACACATGGTCCACTCAAACACTTGTTTGAGTGTAGTCTAACCACAGACCAAAATTAATATGACTGTATGTAAACATCTGACCTCAAGACCCCACCGCATGATGAACCATCTGGTGCTGCAGCAAGAGTTCAGTGACATGTGAGCTAAAACAGCTTGATAAACTTGTCCAAAATGGTGCCAGAAAGGCAACCGATAGCGATTTCATGTAACTTTCACTACCACTAATTACAATGTATTTTATTGGGATATAATAGGATAGATCGCCACATTGGAAGGAAATGATGCATGGTTGGCAACAGTTTCACAAAATAAAAATCTGAAATGTTTGACACCGATTAAATACTTTGCAGAACCAGTCAGGACAAGTGTTTTTTGAGCATGTCTAATCACTTTGCATATCTTAGACACCTCAAGTTTAGTCAAATTGGACATTTAAACTTTCAAGTAGTGTCACCATTTCTCCACCCCAATCTCAAGTCTCCTGGAGCCTTTTCTTGCAGTATTGCTCAGTATTTGCCTCTATCCACCTCTCCTTCAGGTTTGATCACCAACATGGTGGTGATGAGCAGCCAGGGGCGCAACTATGTACATTCTGATGTATGTCGACTGATAACAGGGCAGCTTTCAAAGGGTCTGGATGGCTTTTATATTAAGTGTCGCAAGAGACAGAAGGGGAGGGGTGCCTAATTTGTTATTGTCCATATTTTCTCAAGCTGATTATAAATACAGAAGATGCTGACTAAGTAATTTTTCGGCCGTTTTATGGCGCCCCACGAGCATGGCGCCCCTATGTATCGCATACTGTACATAAACGTCAGCTTTGTGCAGTTCCTGAGGAATGTTTGCCCTGTCAACATGACCTGTGGATCTTTACAGCTCCTCCAGAGTTACAATGTAATGCTCTCTCTTTTGACTGCACGCTCAGCTGTTTTTATGAAATCGGGTCACACAGAAACACACATACCTGTGTGAAGTAGAGGTTGAGGAGGCAGAGTGTGAAGAACTGCAGGCAGACGGGACAGCAGTAGAGCAGCCAGTAGGCCAGAGGCTGCAGCTGGTTGGCCTGCACCACATTTTTAAAGTAGAAAGAGAAGAGAGTCGTCCGCAGCGCTGCCCACAGCAGGCACAGGAACAAAAACACGCTCTGGTAGCTGAAGCGCTTGTGGCCGTAATGCAGGATGAGCCAGAGCTGCAGGTAGACGAAAACAAAGAGGAAAGAGTAGAGGACGGTGTAGACGGTGGTCAAACTGAGCTCCAGCGTTGGAGAGATCGCATCTCCGGATGACTCCTTCAGAGTGGTAAACAAATCGGCATCGAGCTCCTCTCCTGGCGAAAACATCTCCGCTTGATGCTCGTGAGGGGGGCGGGGGAAAAGACGCTGAAAGTGGGTCAGACCTGGGTTGCATTTACCATGGAGGGCAAAAAGGCAACGGCATTCACGCGCAAAAATGAGATAAAGACTGTTTCTTTGAAAAGAAGTGGCATTATTCACCCAACAATTGGCTCTCCGGTTGGAAAAAAACTAGTGAATAAATGAATGGTTCGGCATTCAAAATGAGCTGAGTTAAAAATAACAAGAAGGAGCCAAAGAAAAACAAGAGAGGTGCCTCAGTGATTGTCTGCAAAGCTGCTCTCTGCAAAAAAACAACTTGAGGGGGGGAAAACCTCCAGATCAGCTGTGATGCAGTTTTAGACCAGCCCCCTTGTTTCGAACGAAAGCGGAAACTGGCTGTCGGTGTTCGCCATTTTGGTTCAGGATAACGACCAACTGCGTGGAGACACAGCTGAGCGTGGAGCCACAGTTTCAAGCTAGTTTCCTACATACATTTCCTGAGTGGGCAAAAAGAGGCCACACCCCTATTTTTCCACTCTGCAATTTTATTGGCTGATTCTGCAACCAGCCTCCACAGCAAATCCATCCCATTGGTCAATAATGATGTCAGCTTTTTACGTCCAGAACTCCACCATAGATGTAAAACCATAGACTCCGCATAAGCCCACACATAACATATTATTATAATTGTTATTGTTGTTGTTGTTATTATTATTATTATACAGCGCCATCGTCACTGTGATTGGTATAACCACTCAGTTCTATTGTTTTATTATTGTTCGGTATGGACCCAATGATCTCCATTTCTCATCCTGAAATCAACATAGATTACCGTGTGTGAGTCATAAATATCTACTGAGCGTAGATTTTGTTTCCGAGCGTATTTGTGTTCCGTTTTCCACATAAAAACGCCTTCCACAATATGGCGGACGCGCTGACGTATCGTTTCAAGCCGACGTGCTTCTACTTGTCTTTGTCTAGGAACGTTCTCTCACGTTGTGAGTGCTGATTGGTTGAAGTGAAAGTCATACGTGGATATGATTGGTCTACAGAAGGAAGTGGGCGTTTCTGCTAGCTGTGAGACGTTCAAGATGGCGTATGAAAATTCTAAAGTAAAATCGTCATTTCAAGTTGAGACTCTGCGAGATTACGATTCTTAAATAATCAATTTGAAGCTAAATGTAACACGCACAATCAAGGCATGTGTTATTGGTATTTCGTAACAAAATATAAGCTCTCACTAAGTAGTTTTCAGCTTTGAACATTTAGGATACTGCTTTTATTTCGAAAGAATTAAAGGAAGCATTGCGTTTACAGTGAATATTGCACTCTTAACACATAGCATTGAGCATCTTGCTTTTAAAAGTACGGAGACCTACGTTTCTGGTGCAAGAAACCTGAATGTATAAAATGAACAAGAAATATCTATGTGCGAGCACACAGACTGCCATTAGTTGATGGAGCAGGATATCCTAGAGCTTCTGACATAAACTGAGATTCCAAAACATGGAATTTATTTGGGATTTTTCTGCTGTTTCTTCTAAGAAAAATAAAATGGCCTCTTCACCAAATGACCCCCGACCTCCCGCAACTCCTACTTCTCAGGTAAATGTCAGGTGTTTTTTATTTTTTAAAGATAAGTTACTAACTATGCATTCTGTGTTTTGCCTGAAAACTTAAAACGTCTTAGTAAAACTACAATTTTGCATATTTCATGCGTCTATTATGAGTCAGACTTGTGTTGGTATTCATATTCATGGTTCAGAAGTGCTTGTTATGTATTTTTGTGTATATGTTCACCACTCATTGTGTTTTCTCTCCTAGAGAGGACAGTGCAGTGTGTTAAGGATATGGGCTTGTGTTGCTGCCCTCCTGCTGTGGATCAGCTCAGCTGGATGCCATGAAAAGGCCAATATGTCGAACCATATTGAAATCACAGCTGCAGACTTCCAGGAAAGACTGCTGTCCGGGAAGATGATGTTCCTCTATTTTCAGCAACAAGGTAAACAAAACAGTTTATTTTTAGGTAAATATCTTCTGACATAAATTAATCTGATTTGATTTGAATACAGTCAACCTAACATAATTCCCTTTTCTCCTCTGTCGTCTCTAGTCTCTCCCACTATCTCTCTCTTCCTGATGGAGTTAGAGAAATCAGTCGAAGCTCTGCAGGATTACGGCGTGCTAGTCGGCAAGGTGACAGGAGCTTTGTTCATGATGTCAGCTCTGTTTGCTGTAATCGTTAGTATAAAAGTACAAAAAGTAATGTTTTGTTTTGTAGGTTACATGTAAAAACCAGCCGGTTCGAGCATACTGTACAGATGCAAAGCAACAACACAGAGCTTTTCTGTTCAGGTAGGTTGTGTAGATAGAAAATGATCTGTCGTAGCTTTTCAGAGAGTGTTTGCTGAAAACGATCTCCACAATTTAAAATGATTAAATCCCCATAGTTCTGTGGAAATGAAGAGAACCACAAACTAATAAGACCAAATATGACTGAAGCTCTCCAAAGCTTCTTCAGTAATCATTCATATAAAGACGGATATCACCTGACTGCATTAGAGTTATTCTAACTGTTTGCAGTTTTGCGTCTTTGTGTGTGTAGAGGCGGCAAAGAGTTCTTGAGTTTCAGCTTGGACACCGTCTTCGATGTCAACTCCATAGTGGCTGAAGTCCTGTTGTGAGTATCAGCACCAATTTGCACTGTGACTGAGTGACATAGCTTGAAAATTTATGGTCTCCGAACCAAAAACAGGTTTTATTGAGATTTTATGTGACAGACCAACAGAAACAAAAATTTTTTTTAAAATACTGTAAAAGTGTGATGTGTATTTGTATTAGAATCGACTCAGGGAAGCTAATTTTTGTCGATGTTTGTTTTGCTTTGCCTCTGCCCTCCAGTGCCGTTCTACGTGACGAGGTGAAGTACGTCCACACGGACGCCGACCTGCTGGCCTTGGAGAAGACTGCCAAAGGAAAAAAGGACATTGTTCTCGGTTACGTTCGCAGTCTTGGAACTCAAGGTGAAGATTTAAAGCAACAAAATGACACATTTGTGGTGATTTTATTCTGTTGAGCCCACTCCTAACTGATCAGTTTTCCTAAATGACAGAAATCAAACATGAATCAACCACATGGCGTCTCTGATTTGCTTCTCAGAACACAGATCGCTGATGGAGATGGCGTACGTTTACGGATCCAAATATCAGTTCATCCTCATAACTGGAGGTCCGGTACTAAAGCAGTTAGGGTATGTTTTCTTTTTTCTCATGTTAATCATCTATTACACACAGCTCCCGACCAAAAACAACCAATCAGAGCCAGGAGGAGGGTTTTACCGCTGTCAAATCAATTTCACTGTGCCAATGGCTAAGAAACAACTTATTATTCTGCAAAAAATTGTATCTGCTGTCATCAGTGGCTATGCTAAGTAGCTTTAGCATTTGTGGCTAGGCTGCAGCGTAGCAGAGGAAACAATGGACAGCGCTAAGACCCTTCTCCTGTCTCTGATTGGTTGTTTCTGACTCAGTCTTGTATTTCTATAGTTAGCGTTGGAAAAAGGCAGAAGAGCTAAATTTTTTCACAGATTATCTGTCTAATTTTACATTATCAAGACATAATGATACTTTTAACAAATATGTGAAAAGCATACTTTTTATTGGAGTTGCAGCTGTAAAGCAATAACAACATGTTTTCCAGAGTTAATGAATCGTCCCAGCTCTCTAGGGTGTGGTTCGTCCACTGTAGAGTTCATGGTACTGTCATGACCCCTGTGACCTCTGAACGCTGCCCATTGACACACATGAGGACGCCCCTGTCCACCCTGAGCATGCACACGTTCCTGCAGCTTATGGAGGCCCCACTTGTGGTATTTACAGTCCATCAGAAAACGCTGGAATGGTCACTTTTCTAGTAGAAAAATGTTGAAAATCTGGCTTTTCACCTTTTTATCAGTCCGAAGTGTTCATCGATCCCTCGTCAGTCCCACTTCCGCAGTTCCCCTACCAGCTGACGCCTCAGGTCTTCCTGTTTTCTCACCCTGCGACCGAACACCTGGACCTGGACACGGCCAGCGCTCTGGCCTGGAGGCTGCGAGGCCTCGCCCTGCTGCTGCTGGTGCACAGGTGTGCAGAACCAACCGGATTTAAAAACACACCACATGTAAATCAGATTTAAGTAACTCAGGTTTTGTTTGATGTTTGTGTTTATCAGGCAGAGCCCAGCAGTTAAAACCCCTAATAAGTACAACGCTGCCTACCGGCTGCCTGAGAAGGTAGAGCTTTTATTAATTTAATTGATCCTGCAGCTTATTTCATTTACAGTTTAAAAAGTCACACAGAATAAAAATATTTGTCTATATGATTTTGTTTGCAGAGTTCTGAGGTGAAATATTTGACCTTACACAACTTGGACGACGTGTTGGAGCTCTTTACGAAGCAGGAGGAGGATGAGGAGGAGGAGGAAGAAGAGGAAGAGGAAGACTCATATTCAGGTTAGAAGATCTGCTCCATGTTTCTTCAGAGAATTCAAACTTGATGCATGGAAAAGAAAGGAGTGTGAACATGTGTGTCACCAGGAGAGCTGGATGATGAAGTCGCAGCGGAAGTGTACAGAAACCGAGGTCACTTCCTGGACCTGGACTCGGTCACACAACTAACTTCTGACAACTTCCACTCTGAAGTTGCACAAAGCAGCCTCACGGTGGTGCTGTTCTACCTCAGATGTAAGACCTTCACCTGAACACAATTTAAATAGTTAAATCTTGTCAGTTTGTTGCGCTGTGATTAGAAGATGTCATTTTGGCCACCAGGGGACGCTGTTTCAATGGCTTTTCTCGGATCTTTCATTGAAGTTGCAGAGAAACTTGAAGGTAAACAGATGAGACCTGCAACAGGTGCAGTTTGTGTTCACAACAAAACCTGGAAGAGATTTATTTTCACATTTATTCTTAGAATTTACGTTTTAAACATTTTAAGGCATGAATGAATGAACTGTTTTCACAAACATTCACACAGAGGAGTTAAATTGCATTTCAAATAAATTTCATGTAAAGCAGATTTTCCGATATGATTGTTTTTTTTTTTAGATTCCAGGGTTGACGTCATCCAGATGTGTGTCGTCGACTGTGGCGAGTGGACCGACCTCTGCGCCGCTCAGCCTGGCACCGCCGTCCCGTTTCAGCCAATCACGGAGTTCCCCAGCGTTCTGCTGATCCAACCTCAGCAGGCGGCCCAGCGCTACACTGGTGTGCTGACCGGGGAGGCGCTGCATCGCTTCATCATGATGTAAGAACACAAAAACCTCTGGAAAACATTTTGAATTTGTCATCTCCACTATCTGAAAAGGACAAAAGAAGAGCTTATGAATCCAACGGAAAAGATGTTTTTCTAGCTAACTAGTGGGGATTTATTGATTTAACTTAATGCATTTGATTATTATCAATATAATAGAACATACGCTGAACACCGATCCAGAACCACACAGCGTTTTGGACACGTCATAATATTCTGTTGCAAGACTTTTACAACTTCAAAGTTGATGTAAATGCTTTGGAAATGTTGCAGCTTGGAATAATTATTTTTTAATCTCACATCTTGCTGTGCCATGCAGACTCTGTCTGCAGTGATGAAGTTAATCTCCACTCAGCTTGTTGAATACTTAAAACAAATCCAACTGACAGCAGTTGGATCTGATTTTGGGTAATTCAGCTAATAATTACTTCATCACTTTGTGGGATTAATTAAAATGTCCAACTTTATTGTGAGAAAACTTAAACTATATCCTTGTTTCGTTTTTTTTTCTTCCAAACCAGGAGCCGCATGCCCTCTCCTCTGCTGCTCTCTACCAATGAGGAAGTGACATCTTTCCTTCAGGAAGTTCCTGACCTGGCTAGTTTCAGGCCTCATAAGGTCCTGGGTTTGTTTAGGACAGAGAGCCAGACAGGTGGGAGTGAAAAACATTGATGTGACAGAACAGTCACAGTGTCCTGCTAGCTGTTGATCGTTAATATCGGATAAGAGTTAAACTGGACAGGTTGAAGAATTATTTGATTTTTTTGTCATTTTCTTCCTCTCCCAGATTTGTCCGTGTTCACTGAAGCAGCAAAGTTATTAAGTGGAGAAGTTCTGACTGGGCTGCTGAGAGACGGACTGGTGGAGAAATGGTACCAACTTTAAATTCACTCCACGTTTTGCTGTTTTCATATTGTCTCTTCTTCATTGTTTCTCCTCTGATGCCGCTGCTGGAGTCAAAAGTTATTCAAAAAACTTTCTTCCAGTGCGTTTGAGTGAGTAAAACATGGGGTAGCAAATTGAATAAACAGTAAGAGGTGGATATTTTGTAGTTGTGGAGTTACAAAAGGCTTCCGGAAGCAAGTAAATGAGCAAATAAACTTTTAAACTCCCACACATTTTCCTCCATAGGGCTGTGGAGCATGATGTGGAGCCTCCTGCGGTGTTGTTGTTTCCTTCTTGGGGGAAACTGAACCGCCCTTCAGTGCTGCCTGTGACCTCGTCATCTAAAGATCTGCTCACCCACATTCACACGACTCTGCTCCAACCAGTGGTATGTGTGTCTCTTTAGGATTAAAAAGGGGCAAAAGAATAGCAGTCAGTACAGTATCATGTAGAAATACAAACCAGTTTGTTGTGTGTTTTTTCTTATAAACAATATAACAATATAAATGGTTGATTCAGTTGTTCTGTTGCTGCAAAACAAGCCCAAATAATGACTCTTCCACCACTGTGCGTCAGTGTACATGAGGTTTACCAGGAATATTGCTTAATGGATATCCATCAACCTTTGCAATCAAGCCACATTAGTTGATATTAAACTGGTTTGATGAACTGAAATGTTCAAGTTTGACAAAACAGCAAAAACAAAAGAACTTTTTTCTCCTCAGCAGATTCAAACGTTGCTTTTGCTCTTTTAGAGAAATAAATGCTGCTTGAATATTTCCATCTGCTGCAGCACAACTAGCACAAACTGGGTTTCCTTCTGACTCTTCGTTTTACGTACCTTGCAGTCACATATCACTGATTAACATTTTATTCCCATTTTCTTCCCAGCCTGAGCTGACCGTGGAAAACCTGCCGTCGTTTCTGTCGCTGGGTAAAGCGCTCCTCCTCCTCTTCGTGGGAGAGGAAGAGGACGAGATCGGGCAGAGGCAGAACCAGGCGCTGGTGGACCATATGAGAGGCGTGTCGGAGCAGGGAGGCGCGAGGATGGAGAGATACCTGCCCTGCTGGATCCACCTGTACAAATAGCTATCAATTTAAAAAAATACAACACCAATAATTTCCTTTAACATCAGAAAAGAATCGACAGCTTTCCTCCGTGTGTTTCAGCGGTCACACTCCAGCTGGTCTGTCTGTTCTGGGTTCATACCTTGGTTCTCTGCCGCCGCTTCCTGCGTTGGTGCTCACGCATTTACCCAGTGGAGACGAAGTCTACCAGTATCCTCCCAACACTCCCATACTGGCAGGTTCTGTGCTGCTGTGGCTGCGGAGCGTGGAGGATGGGACGGAGTCACCAGCAGGTACTGAGAGGACAGAAGTGAACAATTGAGAAAACAAGAAACCAACATTTTGATGAGTCTCATCATCAACATCAAATATGTTGGTTTTGTTTCATTTATAAACTGGTGGGTTTTTATTCTAGATTTAAACCAAATTGGTGTTTCTGCTGTTTTGCAGTTTTCCTGAATATGCGTATATAAATATAAAACTGTCTTTTAGTTTAACACACAATCTTTAAATCTAAATTTCATTCGTGGTACGCCGACATTTTCTGACAGTGCAAGAAAACACAAGAGGGCGCCAACTCCAAAATAAATGAAAATGCAACTAGAATGCAGAACATTGTTTTGAAGTGCTTGTGGCGACCCCCGCCAGAGATTACCGCCCTGAGTGGTGAGCCGTCATTGGAACATTTTATAGAAAACACAAGGAGGAGTAGAGAACCACTCTGACTTTACAAAGCAATCAGTTTTAACCCGATATTTTGCCATTTTCTTTATGTTCATTCTTGCATCTTCCAAGCAAATACAGATTTCAGATCTAATTAGAGTCAGCAGGTTCTTGTTTCGTGATCTATTCCTTCAACTTTTAACAGATTCAAAATAATGTAACATGGATTGTTAAAATCCGACCATAGTTCTGGGTTTTGTTGGAGCAGTGGGATATTAAATCTGTTTTACCTTGAACTCTACAGCTTTGTCGTGTCTCCACAGGAACGCTGGGTGGGGACAGCTGGCGTCCTGCTTTTGAGTTCTACGACTTCCTGAAAGTCATGGACATGCAGGAAGTTGACCCCCGTCCTCCAGAAGAGGAGGAAGTGAATGTTGAGGAACATTTGGTCACTAAAACGATGTCATACGATCATCTAGATATGAATTCAAAATTTCACTCTGAACTCTAAGGAATAAAAGTGAAACCCAAAATCTTACAGTATATTTTAGTTTGTTTGGTTCATGTGGTTTTTGCAGGTGATTCCCCACGAATCACGTTGGGGTTTCATCAGATGGGCGGATGTATTTCTTACTATTTCCCACCGACTTGAAGGCTGCATATGTGACTATTAGATGTCTGTGGCTAATGTCACACTGTGGAAAACTGAACACTGTCAAGCAAACTGAGTATTTCTGTGACTGAACGACGGTTCAGCATCAAGTTGAATGCATTTCATTTGGTTGTTTTTGATTAAAACAGGTGCTATTTTTACAAATAAAGTTTGATGTGATTTTTTTTCTCTTTTGCATCACACAACTTATTTCTCCAGCCAAAATGGCTGTAAGTACAATGCTTTATTTTAGCAATGACAACATTAAGAAACTGATTTTATTTGTAACAGAAATAAAATGTGAAAGAAATTAAAAAGAAAAAACAATTCTATTGAAATATTCATAAAAAATATAGAATTTTACATTTTTCCTTCACTGTAATTTACTATTTTAAATTAATTTACTCTTAATAGCTTCACTCGCCACACTCAAAGCTATTAATAGCTATTAGTAGCTCGCTTCGCTCGCTAAGCTCGCCACACTCGTAGCTATTAGTAGCTCGCTACGCTCGCCACACTCAAAGCTATAAGTAGCTATTAGTAGCGAGCGAAGCGAGCCCACACTTTAAAAAAACACTCGTAACCTGTAGATTTACAAGCGCTCGTGCCCGTAATAGATTATTACTAAGCTAGCGACGTAGTGTAGATTTATGCTAGGTGGCTCAGGATGACATGGAGATGATTTAAAAACACTGTATAAACTTTTGAGTGACTTCAACCATGGTTTATGTGAGTAAATGTTGTTTATTAAATGTTATAAAGCAATAAAATTCCTCTGCTGTCGTGAAACGTCCAGTTGTAGCAGCCGATACGAAGGCTAGAAGCTAATGCTAGCTATGCGCCTGACAGTGACGCCGCCATGACGGCTGTTTCTTTTAGGATCCACAAAGAAAAAAAAAATTATATAGAGAAGGTAAAGTCTGAGAAATTAATAGTACATTCACGTGATTGAACTTTAATTTATGTGCTGATGGTTTTCCTATGACAAGCCCTAAGAGTTCAGTCTACTGCAATTAGCGGAACTTGATATATCAAGGATTTCTCTCTTAGGGAATAAAACGATAGAACCAAAATGAAGACCTTTGAGGTGGAGGAGAACAGAGCAGCATTAAAATACTGCAGGAAAAAAATACCATTTTGCACAACTTTTATATAAATACAGTTGTGACACTAGAATAACTTAATTATAGTTATGCTTGGTAAGTTTATACATAATTAATAGAATGCAAACACTACAATGTATGCATTGCGAAGCCTACAGTACAGCATTTCTATGGAAGTCTTTTCCTCCACTTCTTTTCTTTCCAAATTTTACTTTTGCCTCTAACTGTAAAATAATAAAGTCTAACTATAATTAATGTTGCCTGTGCTTACTTTGCTCTGAAACAAACTTTCAACTGGTCTCTGCTTTGTTTCTTTAAGGACACAAGTAATTTTACTCTCATTAGTAAGAACAACGAATGTTTATGTTTACGAATGTTAAAGTGAGACTTGCACAATCATTTATGGTGAGAATGTTGGGAGAAATTGCGATGTTTATGTGATTATTACCAGAATTTAAGTGTGAGAGATTTCAGGTTTTTTTTTTTTTCAGTTGCTCATTCTTCAACCTATGTACAGTTTCTTTCATTGCTTTTTTAAAATCACATCTGAAATGTGAGGTGGAATAGTTATCAGGAAGTCTTGTTAGCTCGTACTGATGCTCTGTGAGCAAAACGGAGGTTTCAACATCATATTCCGGCTCCATGCGAGGTCTCGTGTGCCTTTCTGTCAGGATCCCATCAGCAGCACATCACAAGAAGTAAATCATTCCTGCTGTTTGGTGAGAAAATGTGGTTTCAATTCTCTGCACATTCTTCAGAAAATGTGTAGAGAATTTATTCCCCCAGTTTATTCCTGGGGAGATGCGTGAAAGAAGTCAGAGTGTGTTTACAGTTTTTCTGAGTCGACTGGTATTTACTGACTACTAATAATGAAAATGCAAAGACTACCTTTAAAAAAAATTACAGGTAGTGCTCAAAGATAACTTTGAGCACAGTTACTGTTTCAGCTCCCTTTGTGGCAGATAAAACGTTGGAGAAGGAATCTTCTTGATGACAATTCTGGGTTACGCAATCAAATATGCTTTGTGAGATAACGGCATCCAGATGGAAGCAGGAATAACGCAAAAACAAGAAGATGCTGCGATGGAAAAACTGCAGAACTGACGTTTTGTTTTTAAAAATTGGTTTATAAAGGTTTCTGTCTTTATTACAAGCTTTGATTTACTTGTGCATTTGTGACAGAATGGAATCGTTCCAAGACTTAATGGTATTAGTTCATTTGATGGCTGTATTTTATGCAAATGTTTCTTTGGCATGATAAATTATGATCACCATCTTGCACTTTCTTCAGTGAGATAAGAAATCCTGTTGTGAATACTTCCTGAAAACGACTGTGGGAATATATACTCCCTACTTTGGGAGTATGAGACTCTAAACCATAATGCTAGTTAATGTGGGTTCTCACAAATACAAATACATCAAGCATCTCATTGCTAAACTAAATTTTGAGAGGCCAACTTAACTCTTGCAAAAGTCATATGTATTTTGTCGCAATGTCTTGGGATAATGTTAATTTTTTTTGTTAAGTTGGATATATTGCCTGACTTCTGCTAATGCTGAGTACAGTTAGTCAACAAGGGGAGCCAGATGTATGTTTAAAACCACCCATTGATTTGAAAAACCTAGTTGTGTTCCCATTGTCATTGCTGCATCATCAAATACAAGCAGCACAAATGAGAGGAACCGTTTGCATTTTAATGAAGCTGAAAGTAGACTTAGAAGACCATTTGTGATTGCTGATCAATAGGCCGTAGATGAGAAACTTACTGCTTGTGTCTGTATGAGGCAAAAAAAGAGATAAACTAAAAAGCTTTTATTAGGTTTTTATGCAATTCTGGGAAGAGAAACATGAAAGCTGGCTTTGCAGAATAGCTGTTGGGAAATGTAGTGTTTTCTGTTGCAACATGGGAGTAGGAAAGTGAATAATTGACAGTAATCTCAACAGAACCTGGAAGGAAGCAAAAAGACTCAAGACTCTGGCAGAGGTTTACCTTCCAGCATGACTATGACCTTAAAAATACATCAGAGGTACAAGAGGCACAAATCTTTCTGGAGTGTAAAGCTGTTGTGACTCTTCAGTAGTTCCAGAATGGCCTGATTTGGTTTGAGACAGAGCAATATGTTGTGAGGACTGGTGCAGAATTTCCGTGGTGCTGACAAATCCATGTCTGATTGGAAGCTGAGTCTGGGGCTTTTCGTCCATCATGATACAAAGAAACATACTCTTCCCTCCAGGTCCTGGCAGCAACTCAATGCCAAACCTTTCAGCACCTGTTGGCTCTGAAAGTAAAACCCTTTTTCAATTGTATGTTTGATCCATGAATGACTTTCATTGCAATTCCATGTGATTCCTCCTTTCATCTCATAACGCCCGCAAATCTCCCTTTGTAAATATCTGCTTTCTTAAAACAGTTAGCTTAAAATGCTAACAATGTCTGCTTATGTAAAGGTCAATGTAGAGGGAAGGCTTTCTAAATCCCAAACACAGACATGTTTTCTCCAACTGATTTTCCTCCACTGGTCTGTTTCTGCTTACGGTGATGCTAGTCCAAGCTGTAGCCTGTCAGGAGTTTGGATGAAAAACAGTCCTGGTTTTATTACGTCTTATCTAGGCTTCTTGTGGAACAACCATTCCTGTGAGTGCTCCCAAAAAACCAGCAGTTAAAGTGCTGATTGATGTTGTGCCCTCAGATTTTGCATTTAGTTGGACTGAATTTAGTTAGTTGGACCCAGTCTGTTTTACATGTGAAGTTTAAAAAGAATTTCTTAAGGAGGTCTTGTACTAAGAACTAGCGGGACTGAAATACAGTCTCTATCAAGTGTGCCAACAAAGCATGTCAAAACATTGATCCTCAAACTACTACAAATACCACAAAGTTAAATTTTAAACAGGTCTTGAACTAAGGACCTTCTGAAGCAAAGGACAGGCTCTACATAGTGAGCCAACGAAGCTCATGAAAACATTGATGCTCGAACTTCTACAAATACCACAAAATGAGTCTTTGATGTTGAATTTGAAAACAATGTTTTAAGCAGGTGAACTGAGAACTATTGGGACTGAAGCAGAGTCTCTAGCAAATGTGCCAACCAGTAACATGAAAACATTGACGCTCGAACTTCTACATGTACCACAAAGTCAGTGTTCGAGAAAAATTTAAAAACCGTGTTTTAAGCAGGTCTTGAACTGAGAACCTTGTGGACCGAAGCACAGTCTCTACCAAGTGAGTCAGCCAAGAATCTACCAGTCTTGAAGTTCGAACTTCTACAAATACCACAAAGTCAGTATTTGATGTTACATTTTAAAACTCTTTTAAACAGGTGTGCCAACCAGGAACATGAAAACATTGATCCTCAAACGCCTACAAATACCAAATAGTCAGTTTTACATGGGAAGTTTAAAAACAATTCCTTAAGCTGGTCTTGAACTGAGGACCTTCTGGACAGAAGTAATGTTTTTATTTTTTATTAAGTGAGCCATCCAGCCAACCGCTTAGCTTGAAGTTCAAACTTCATCAAATACCACAAAGTCAGTCTTCCACGTGACATTTGAAAAAAGAAAAAGCCTTGAGCAAGTCTTGAACTAAGAACTTTTGGATATCAAAGTACAGGATTTATCCGCTGTGCCAATCAAACACCTGCCAAGATTGATTCTCAAACCAAGAATCTGTTACATTTTAAAAACATTTTAAAATGTAACACATAATACCACAAAGTCAGTTTTATATGTGAAGTTTAAAAACAGTTCCTTAAGCTGGTCTTGAACTGAGGACTTTCTGGACAACAACACA